CAGCTGCCGGCGATTCTATAAACAACGACAGACAGGTTGCGCACCTGTTACCGGCCTATATACCTCTGTCGCGTTGACTCCTTGACGTTCCCCTCGGTATTATCGCGTATATTTACTAGGCGCGCGTATCCGAGCCCCGTGTGCCAACTCACTACTCGGCGTTTTTTTGAAGCATATTTGCCAACGCCGCGTCGCCGAATGCCTATATATGGACATTACATATTTGTATTATAATATATTATTATATATTATTATATATATTATTATATAAGGACATGAGAAAGATGGAAAAAAAATTATTATTGTTTATATTCAATTTTTTTTTATTTTCGACAAAAAACTTTCACAATCTTCACCATTCAATTTGTAGCCGTTTTGGCGCTTTCTTAGCCCTCACTAGTCACTGGTCGTCCGACATTACTTGCTAAATTTGTTATAACTTTTTTACTGCCCTTATCACTTAGACAAGTAACCGCCAAGCAAATATTGTACAAATCTTGGTTCTTCAGATGTTTTATGACCATTTCACACATTTCAATTGGAAGCCGATAGTGAATCAACTCCCAGAATGGATATAACGCATAGCGAAGAAAAAATCTCCTCGACATTTTTTCGCACATATGCAGAGCGTAGGCCTCCTTAAAAGGTTTTTCAACTTGGTACCATACAAAGTACCCTAGGTCGAAGAAGATTTGATATGTGACTTGTTTTTTGGCCTCTTCGGGTTGTAATAACAACAAGTCATAGAGCGACATAATCGGACTTCCATATCGCTTTTTGATTTCTCTCGCTTCTCTTTTCTCTTCATTATCATCGTCAGTGTCATCGTCAGTGTCATCGTCAGTGTCATCCTCAGTGTCATCGTCAGTGTCATCCTCAGTGTCATCGTCAGTGTCATCGTCGGTGTCATTGTCGGAGTCGTCAATGTTATCGCCAGTGTCATCATCAGTATCATTATCAGTATCATCATCAGTATCGTCGTCAGTGGTGAGGTCTTCAGCCGGGCCAGAGTAGTAGAACTTCATACCCGAAAGTATCTGCATATTCTTGGCTATGCTCACAAACTCGTCATTATCGTGCAACATTTTTTCCATATCCGTTGATTTCTCAAACAATTCGTATTTGGCGAAAAGTTTCATGATCGTTAGAGCGTCGCCTTCGTTCAGTTTGTATCCTTTCTTCTCAAGACTTTCTACGACGCCCAGAGCACCGAAAGCTAGTTTTGATTTGAATCGGGGCCCGTTCTCCGTCTCAAATTCACTCTCAGTTGGGAAAACGAAACTGGTCAGATCAGCTCCACGATCCAAGAGTACATCGACCACATGCGGCAAAACACTCAGCACGGCGCAGTATAAAGGTGTCCGACCCCGATTATCGTGGACATTGACCTGCACGAGCTGATGGTTATCGTCGCAGATCTTAAAAAATTCGTCCACGCCGTGATCATCGTTGAATCTGAGGCAAATTTTGTGCAGTGGTGTCAATCCCTCCACGTCGGCCAAATTCGGGTTGGCCCCTCTTTTCAGCAGCATTTGAATCATGTTTGGTTTCCAATAGTTGGTCGTAGCATAATATAGTGGTGTCTTGCCCGAATTGTCCTGAGCATTGACATGAACCAGCTGATGTTTATTGTCGCTGATCTCGAATAACAGCTTCATCAAGAACACATCGTCGTCATCGGCTCCCTTGCATATATAGTGCAGAGCAGTCAATCCGTCCTTGCTTGGCAAGTTCGGATCGGCGCCATTTCTCAATAACAATCCGAACATTCTCTTATTATATGAGTACAGATCGAAGTGTATCGGTGCATTACCTGCTGCTGACGCGATGCAATTGGGATCCTGCCCGAGCTCAAGAAATTTCTTGACGACGTCTTCACAGTTAAATCTGCAGGCCACGTGAAAATGAGTTAATCCATCTTCGTCGGTGTAGTTCACGTCAAATCTATTATATATGCTAAAAAGTTCCATAATGCGGCGACCGTGATGGTTTCTTGCCGCATGATGAATCGGTGTGGTGCGAATCAACAATGGCTTGCCGTCTTTATCAACTTTGGGATTATCTACGTAGCCGGTCCTGATCGCAAAGTCGATGAATCGTAGTCCGAAATAATAATAATCATTTTGGTCTTCGTAATCGTACATTACTGATTTAGCGAGAAGCCATTCGATTTCTTCGGGTTGGAAAATGTCCTGGAGATTTGGAAGTTGGTCCGTCCAATCTTTGACCAAAGGATAAAGTTGATTGAGTAATTCACATCGCTCTTCTTCCACTTCCCAATTCACATTTTCCCGTAAGCATTTCAGTCTTTGTAATTTTTGTTGGTTATCGAAACTTGCAGCGGATTCTTTATTGGACATTTTTTCGCGCACTCACACACAAACACAATTGTTTTATAATTAAAAATTATATTTTATTTTCACCAAAATGAATAGTTGCAATCGATGCTATATTTTTATCTTCTTTACGCTGTGGAGACGTGACGTGAACTGTGACTTTAGATCGTAAAGTACCTAACACGTGCTTGAAGCTAAAAAAGCTATGCAAGAAATAAGCTACGTATGCATCGAGTAACCTATAAGAAACGCCACGAGGACGTGCACAGCTAAAGATGAGTAAATGAGCGTGGGAGAGACCGAACTACACGACACTACACATGGACGTCGTATGAAGGTATGAGCGCCGATCAGTAGTCGCATGTGTCACTCACAGGCGAGAAACTATCGCTCGTGGGCACCTATGACAGAAGTCTCGCTCGCTCATTCGCTCGTCGTCACAGATTCATTTCCCGCCCACCCAACGCACGTAAAAATTATTAAAAAGAGAAAGCTCCATAGCAGCTCGAAAAAATTCGTTTTCATACCAGCGGCCCGAAAATGACTACTTCCTTGCCGCTGTGCAAAGCGGGAAGAGCGATTTTCGGGCCCCTGTGTATGAAAAATAGTATATTCAGCAGCAGAAAATCCAAAAAATTTCGATAAAATTTTTGTTGCAATAATTTTCTTGTCAAGTGTATTTTTTAGTCGACCGATTTTGTTCCTTTTTAGGACTACGATTTTAAAATTCAAAAATCCATCGACGCAATCTAAAATCATTCGTTTGAGTTCTAATTTCAAGGAAAATTATTTTTTAAATCTCAAACTTGGAGATTCGTGTGACCTTAAGTCCAATTTAATCAATAGATACGCCTTCTGAGCCTAGGTTTTACCCTAATAGCTCGAAGTCCTATTGTTTAGAAAGAGATTAAGTTAATGAAAAGCCCCTTATTGTAGAAGTGCTGAAGGACCTCTATAATAAGTGGCAAGTTTTAATTACAATGGTGCTGAAGAACCTTTGTAATTATTTGGGCAGAAACCTTAACGTAAAGGTGCTGAAGGACCTTTACGATAAGGAAAAGAATTTATTGCGAAAGTGCTGAAGGACCTTGGCAATTTGTTGAAAGTAGATTTTATTGTAGAAGTACTGAGGGACCTCTACAATATTTTATAGATCTTGTTACAAAAGTGCTGAAGGACCTTTGTAACAAGTAGAAAAAGATTTTGTTGTAATGGTGCTGAAGGACCTTTGTAACAAATGTGTTCTATTGCAAAAGTACTGAAGGACCTTTGCAACGAACGTAAGTAGTGAATAGTACTTAGTAAAATTAGGATAACTCGGGTGAAAATGATTGTATAGGCTTTAAATAATGTTCAAATCTCAGCAGCCTACGCAACGCCCTAGTCAAACGAGTCGGTGTAAGTTACTTTAGTAACTAGATCTAGTAAGTAATTAAATCTAGCGAACTTTACTCAAAACTAGGCAGTGAGTTCATTGGTACTGAGGACCTATGCTGCTCGTTAGTCTGCCTTGGTTTGACTGAGTATTAAGAGTGATTCTTGCCTCCGAGGAGGACCGTATTTATACGCTTTCTACGGTGTGCCCAAAAAGTGGGGACGAGCAACCGTCGTGTTGGACCGATCGGCGGGCGTTCGTGGCAAACCGACTTTATTTACTTTTCTTAAAAACTATTACAATGCAAAATATTAACTTAAAATTATGATACAAAATTGTGCCATGGTGTTACAAGTGTTTTATGTTATACAGTGCAGTAGTGAACGACTTGTGTAAAAAGTGACGTTATCCAATAAATAAATAAAGTGCTGTTTACAATAATGTTTTTGATAGAAGTGTTCTAAATGTATTTTGATGTGAATAAGTTAAATGCAATAAAATGATTTAATTAATATTTTAGGCTGTAACATAATTGTAACTGTTCATAGAAATAGTGGCATATGTTGTATGATGACTCGGCAGTTTCAAGGTTACGCCGAGTCATACATAATTAATACACTCAATTTGTATATTATAATTTATGATTTAAAGTCTGTACCTATTTAACATAAAAAAAAAACAAGTATCCTAATAAAACATCGCTAGGTGTTATAATTGTTTTTTTCATTATTTCGCCATGTGAATGCACATGGTGATATTTAAGTTCCAAATTTAATTATTAATTTAAATTAAATATTTAAATATAAATTAATTTAAATATAAATGTTTGTGGTTTTATTTTTATATTTTCTGATAGCTTGTTTTATTTAGCGTTGTTTAATTTTATTGTTATGTACTTATTATTTTAATATTATTGGTAAAAGAGTAAAACCGATGGTAATTATGGTAAGGTAGATTATGATAATGTAGTATGGTAAGGAATGGTAAGAAATGGTAAGAAAACGGTACCGGCTTATTTAAAAAGTAGACGTAGCTAGCTGTGTAGGACGTCACATTCGGATGAATCCACTGAAATTCGAAAAATTTTTGAAAATGTGGAATACTCTACTTTATATAGATATGAGAAAGATTAAAAAAAAATTATTATTATTATTTATATTCAATTTTTTTTTATTTTCGACAAAAAACCTTCACAATATTCACCATTCAATTTATGGCCGCTTTGGCGCTTGCTTAGCCCTCACTGGTCGTCCGACATTACTTGTTAAATTTGTTATGTTTGTTATAACTTATTTTGTATTGCCCTTATCACGTAGACAACTAACCGCCAAGCAAATATTGTACAAATCTTGGTTCTTCAGATGTTTCATGACAATTTCACACATTTCAATTGGAAACCGATAGTGAATCAACTCCAAGAATGGATATAACGCATAGCGAAGAAAAAATCTCCTCGACATTTTTTCGCACAGATGCAGAGCGTGGGCCTCCTTAAAATGTTTGTTATTAACGCACCATGCCGAAAACCCTAGGCTGAAGAAGTCTTTATATGCGTATTGTTTTTTCGCCTCTTCGGGTTGTGATAACAAGTCATAGAGCGACAAAATCGGACTTTTTAATCGCTTTTTGATTTTTCTCGCTTCTCTTTTCTTCTCATTATCGAGCTTTATCCTCGGAAATACCAGCAAATTTTTTACTTTATTCACAAACTCCTCGTTATCGTGCAACATTTTTTCCATATCCGTTGATTTCCCAAACAATTCGTATTTGGCGAAAAGTTTCATGATCGTTAGAGCGTCGCCGTCGTTCAGTTTGTATCCTTTCTTCTCAAGACTTTCTACGACGCCCACAGCACCGAAAGCTAGTTTTGATTTAAATCGGGGCCCGTTCTCCGTCTCAAATTCACTCTCAGTTGGGAAAACAAAACTGGTCAGATCAGCTCCACGATCCAAGAGTACATCGACCACATGCGGCAAAAAACTCATCACGGCGCAGTGTAAAGGTGTCCGATCCAACTTGTCTCGAGCATCGACCTGCACAAGCTGATGGTTATCGTCGCAGAACTTAAAAAAATCGTCCACGCAGTTATCATCGTCGAATCTGAGGCAAATTTTGTGCAGTGGTGTCAATCCCTCCACGTCGGCCAAATTCGGGTTGGCCCCTCTTTTCAGCAGCATTTGGATCATTTTTGGTTTACAACAGTTGGTCGTAGCATAATATAATGGTGTCTTGCCCGAATTGTCCTGAGTATTGACATGATCCAGCTGATGTCTACTGTCGCTGATCTCGAATAACAGCTTCATCAAGAACACATCGTCGTCATCGGCTTCCTTGCATATATAGTGCAGAGCAGTCAATCCATCCTTGTTTGGCAAGTTCGGAATGGCGCCACTTCTCAGTAGCGATGCAAACGTTGCCTTATCATATGAGTACAGATTGAAGTGTATCGGTGCATTACCTGCTGCCCGCCCGATGCAATTGCGTTGTTGTCCGATCATTTTTCCGCGCACTTACACACAAACACAATTGTTTTATAATTAAAAATTATATTTTATTTTCACCAGATTTAATAGTTTCAATTGATGCTATATTTTTATCTTCTTTACACTGTGGAGACGTAACGTGAACTGTGACTTTAGATCGTAAAGTACCTAACACGTGCTTGAAGCTAAAAAAGCTATACAAGAAATAAGCTACGTATGCATCGAGTAACCTATAAGAAATGCCACGAGGACGTGCACAGCTAAAGATGAGTAAATGAGCGTGGGAGAGACAGAACTACACGACACTACACATGGACGTCGTATGAAGGTATGAGCGCCGATCAGTAGTCACATGTGTCACTCACGGGCGAGAAACTATCGCTCGTGGGCGCCTATGACAGACGTCTTGCTCGCTCATTCGCTCGTTTTAATGTCACAGATTCATTCCCCGCCCATTCAACGCATGTAAAAAAGTTTCTCAAAAAGAGAAAGCTCCGTAGCAGCTCGAGAAAATTAGGTTTCAATTCAACTTGGACACCCATCGGGAGTTGCACATGCTATATTTTTCATCGGAACGCGTGGAAAGTCGAAGTAAAATTCTTCTTTACCAGCCTTTTGCTGCAATTCTTTCTGATCTATCTTACATTCTGCTGCACGGTGGGTGTATATCTGCGATTTAAATTCTATGGGTACGTAACGCATGGTTGTTCATGTATATGTGCAACGTTTTCGCTATCTACATGTTCCCATAAATGCGTATACATGGTGTGCTCGTGGTAACAAACTTTGGCCGTTAGTCCGCGTTAGTGAGGATAATTAATTTTATATAAATTGCATTGGCCCTATAATACTCGTCTATTGTTGTTTTTGTTTGGTTTTTGTTCATTTCGCTCCAAAGAAAGCGAGAAAGAGAGAGAATAATAAAACAAATGAAAATTGATTATCATCACGTGAATTTGCTTAAAATAATTCATCCTACGCAATTACGAACAACGGGTAGAAGGAGACCATTGTCGTTATATGGCGTGAATGGTCGCACACCCGAGTCATTTCGATTTTATATACAAAAGAGAAATGAGAGAGAGAGAGAGAGAATCGTTGCTCGAAGTACCTTTACCTTTAATCTGCATTGATATGTCATAGTTATAAAAATAAAAGTTTGTTTATATTGTTGTAACGCACGCGAAGCGTTATAATGATCATATTTTCATCATACGTATATGTGTATCTATTTTGGGCATAAAAAATAAAGTGAGCTCGCTTGAAATTCGAGACTAGAAGATCCTACGGCGAGAGAGAGAGAGAGAGAGAGAGAGAGAAAAGTTACCGAGCGCTGGGAAACTTTGTGACCCTCGGATTCGATCGTCGACGTCGTCGTATCTAGGTTTGCCATCAACTTCAAGATCTTTTTTATTTTAAATTACCCGAAACTTTTCGACTGAACTCTTGCCACTAGTCGGCTCTACGCGCGCACAGTACATGTATTTGCGTGTTTTCCATTTTTCTTGTATGGAAACTCGAAACGTTCCTAGGTAAAGAGACGCGGCTCCATTCATTACTGCCTGCAAGCTGCGACTCCCATATATACAGTTGAGACTTGAGTGTATGTTCCTTTTCCTCCAATTCTCTCTCGATCTTTTATTGAAAATTCTCGCGCGGCTACCCTGAAATCAGTCGTTGACTCGTGGAAAAAGAAACTCCCAGCATCGTACACGTAAAAGAAACAAACCGCGTATTTAGCATTAGTTACAAAGAACTGTCGTCGTCATCGTCGTCGTCGTCGTCAAACGACATGAATAGCAGCAAAGAAAAACCACTTGCCATACCGACGAGCACATGGCAGAGCGGCATTGACGGGACATTATATATATCATGTGCTTGTAAACGGCCATCGTAGTCGTCGCTCGTAATATACATATAAGCGTCGCTCTGGCCCCGCGGCCGAGAGAGGGTGAGTGAGTGAGAGAGAGAGAGAGAGAGAGAGTCAGAGAGCGGAGCAGCTCGAGGCAGGTGAATATTTTACGAGCTTGCGTCTCGCGTTCTCTCTCTGTAATGTGCACGTATAGTGTGTGTGTATGTGTGTAATAAAGCCAGTCGCCAGACCATGGCAGCAGCAGCTTCGTGTGCTGTATTATATCACGCTTGTGTGGGTTAGATAAATTCTTGACGGGCGATCGATATTCTGCACCAGCACGACTCTATGATATTCGCAATTGTATATATGCCATTACGGTACCAGGGTAATATGGGATTGTCATTTTTTTTTGTTTTTGTTTTCAATATAGGTATTACGAGACGAGGACCTCGGGATCGATCAAAATTCAAATGTTTTTAAACAGCTTTACAAGCCCGTAATATTTTATTTTATTTCATTTTTTTGTCAACATTTGCGGACAATTCGAGCGTACCGAGTGCGAATAAACATTAGAAATTCGCGCCACTAGGCTCTCGCTTGTCGAAGAAAAACTGCTGCCAACTTGAGAAGGGTATCGCTCCCCTATATGCTGCGATACGAAAAGCACTATTTTTCGCAGCGAGCGAGGCAATTGCGCGGGAGTCTTGGGCGCGCGACGGCATGGTTCGCGCAATGTCTCGTGTCAGCAGTAGCGGTGTCAGCCAATAATTTCTTGCGACGAAATTTTTATAATTAAAACGTCGACCCGCGTCGTGGGCTCTCGATCGCGATACGACTGCTGGGATAAGCCTCGAATAAGAACACCGTCAGTGTTTTTATCTCTTTTCAAATTTATTGGTCGTCTTGGAACGTTTTCTCGATTGCCGTAAGTGATTACTTTATTTGTTTACCCTTGTTCCAATTTAACTCGCGACTTCTCAACGTCATCATCGTTGATAGTGTCAGCCGAGGATCCAAACATGAGCACCGACAACGACTCGGACAACGATCTGCTGGAGGATCTTTTGGGCATAGCCGACGACGATGACAAGAGCACTGAACCGGAGAAAGTCACGACGTCGGATCAAAAATCAATCGCCAAGTCCGCGGAGCCCGTAGAAAAGTTGAAAAAGGAATCTTCGTTTTCTGCTTTGCCTTCTGCTGCCGCACCTTCGCAGAGTGATTCTGTTAAGAGCTCTCAAGTCAGCCAGTTGAAGGAGCTCGACTATAATTTTTTGGACGTCTGTGACGAAGATTTCGCTGATGATTTTGACGTGGAAAAGTCAGCAGAGAAAAAAACAACTTCCAATAAATCCAAGACAAAAGACTCTGTTTTTAATGATAATGGCAATTCTTCAGACGAAGAGGACAAAAAATATTTTGAGAATCAGCAGTATTCTGATTACGGAAGAGAGATTAAAAATCTCATGAAAGACAAAGAGACTGAGAAAAGTTTTAGTTTAAGTTTTAAATCAAATGATAATTACAAAATTGACATTAATGAGAGGATAGTGTTGAAAGTGAGTGATGATTACAAATCTGTGTTGAAAAAAAAAACCAACGAAGACAAAGTCACTCCAGAACCACCAAAACCCAGTAAATATGCTTTACAAGCTCAACAAAAAATCAAAGCGCAAAATGATGTTTATAGTGATCCAATATTTGGTTTTAGAATGATTACTCCTTTGATCTCATCAACAGATTTGGTAGAAAAAATGAAGGGCATCAAACCTGTGACAGTTGCTTCAATAAAACAACACATAATAAATCAAAAGGCAGGCATGCTAGAAGATTGGGTATTTGCTGGAGTTGTTTTGAATAAAAGTTCACCCAAAACATCTGCCAAAGGAAGTCAATACAGTATTTGGAAACTTACTGATTTATCAAATGAAATGAAAACTGTGGCAGTATTTCTATTCAGCAATGCTTATAAACAATTATGGAAACTGAGTACTGGAACTGTAATAGGTATTTTAAATCCAAATGTCTTAGAGAGTAGAGATGATAAGGATGTGGCAACTTTGTCAGTTGATGTTCCCCAAAGAGTTTTAGTTTTAGGAACTTCAAAAGATTTAGGAACATGTAAATCCATTAAGAAAAATGGTGACCCATGTACTGCCCCAACAAATATCAGATACGGCGAACACTGCGTGTATCATGTGAAACAAGAGTATGGAAAATTTTCAAGAAGATCAGAACTTCAAACTAAAGCTCCTCAGAAATCGTTTAATGAGCCAAGACAACAAAAATTAAATGCATCAACATCAAGTTTTTCAAGTTTTTCACAACAGCGAAATCCTCAAGCAGCCCCATTTATTGCTGTTAAAGCAGTTCGTAATGAAGCCATGTATAAGAAAGATTGTGAACGTTTAGCTGCATTAAGAGGTGATAAAGTAGCTACAGAAAAATTAAAAATGGATTATAAGGCTAAAAATGAACCTGAATTAAAAGTAAAAGTTACCAGTGTTGATTTGACTCCTAAACAGATGAAAAAAGATTCAGAAAGATTAGATAGACTACGAAAATTGCATGCAAATGATCCATCTCCTATACAAGAGTGTAAAAAAGAAACACCCAAATTTAATTTACCACCACCTAAATTAGGCGCTGCCGCAAGAAATGGAATTATTGATTTTTCTTCGCCAATTCCTAAAAGTGCTATCAGTAGAGCAAAGTTGAATGCCATTGAATGGGTTAAAAAAAATGGTGGCCTAAAGAAAGAAAATCCTAATAAAATTAAACCACAAAAAGAAGAGATGATAGCCAAAGGATTGAAAAGAAAGAGAGAAGAGGAAGAAAATACAGAAGAAAAAATTGCAGAAAAAATAAATAAAGAGGTCGAAGCTAAAAGTAAATTTCGAGAAATGCTTGAAATGAAATCATCTCACTCAGATTTGATTGAAAACCGAGAAGATGAAGAAAAGGAAAAGTATTTTAGAAAACTTGAGGTTAAAGAACAAATGGAAGAGAAAATGTTGTCAACGTATAAAATGGATTGCAAAGCTGTGTATTGCCGCGTTTGTAAATATACAGCATTTTCAAGTTCTGACATGTGCAAGCAGTTACAACATCCTATTAAAGTAATTGACGCTGTTAAAAGATTTTTCAAATGTGGTGATTGCGGAAACAGAACAATATCTCTTGATCGAATTCCTACGGAAACATGCAAAAGATGCTCTAGCTCCAGGTGGACAAGAACAAGTATGATGGATGAAAAGCGTTTGGAAGTAAAAACTGCCAAGTTATGTATCAGAGGCGGAGAAGAAAAATTCATTGGCTCAGTTGCTACTGATGCAAGCCTTAATTTGTTAGTACCAGATGAATAAATTTTGAAATAAGTTCAAAATGATTGTACAAATCTTTCAAGATTAATCTATTCTGTAACGTTTAACGAATGTAAATAGATCAATAAATTCATTGTTGAAGTTAAATTTCTGTGATTTCTTAATTTATTAAAAATTTTATAATCATAAGACTTTGAATGTTAATGAAGATTTGTCAAATAATTGAGATAACAAACTTCTGATTTAAATACTTTTTCATTTGTTTTAATTATGTAACATTTTTTTTATTCAAAGTATTTTAAATATCGTACACCATGATGGTGGTACTTATCGGTTTATTACATTCCATTCATCATTCTTCACACTACAGCAATTTGCTTGACAGGTCAAATAATTTTGTCCATGCTGTCATGCAATTGCCATCATTCAAGGATAAATATCTAATTACAAGATTTTGTAGTCGTTGGCAAATTCATAAACCATTAACTATGTTTGATTTAATTTAAAAGCACAAAAACAATAAGAGATGATTTGCTTCTCAAAAGCTAACAGTAACAGAATGACAACAATAAAGAAAAAAACTGTAAAATTCTTATTGTGTGGGAGTAAAAATATTTTTACGACAGTTATAAGGAGTTACTAAATTGATCAACTAAAAATATTGATTTATCTCGTGCGCTGTTTAACGAGTTTCAGAGCAGCCTCGACGATGGGCCAACGTTATGCTAGAAAATGGACCGTAAATATATATAGATCGTCGGTGCAACGTCGCAGGCAGGCAGCAAGCTGGCTTTATTATTATTTTTTTTACTTTTATTATTTCCATTTAAGTTGAGCAGTCTTTTTATGTCGTGTCATTAAAGCACAAACACAGACTATTATTTTATTTAAATTTTTTGTTAGAGCACAGCACCAGAGTCTTCTCTTTCTCTGTATCCTTCATTTGGTCTAAAGTTCACAGAACCACATTTAGGTGTTATTTTCTTTTTGACATCAAAAAAACGAAGTTCAAAGCATATACTATCTTCGTATTTTTCATTTTGGAACGATAAAGAGAAAGAGACAGTCTTTCAGGCGCCACTGTTGCAAAATTCAGTATTTTCTTGTAAATCCTAGATGTAATATGTATAGCTATTCTCCACTCGTACGTGATTTTTAAATTTAATTTTGCCGTCCAAAAATCACCAAAACTGTGAGCAGGAGCAGCTTAGTAGTCGTCGTCGTAATCGAAATTGTCAAATTCATCTTCTTCCAACTGCATACTCTGAAAATCTACCTTGTACCGCAATACACCTGTAATTTACGAGTTAAAATTAATGTTTTTATTTTACAGTTATGCTTTACAATACATTTACTAATAAGTTTTTGTTCAAAATATTGATTTGTCTAATCGATCAAACCTTTCTGTGTATTGTATCTTGTACAATTAAATGTAATAGTTTGTTAATCACACATCAAAATAATGAACTTATAACAACTATTACAGTAAAAATTAAATATTCAATTCTGAAATAATATTTTCATTCTTAAAATAAATAAATATTTATAATAATTTTATAAAAGCAACAGCTCTTTATATCAATCTAAATCTAAATCATGCAAAATTCGAACAAATTTTAACATAGAATCAAATTATAAATGGAAACGGAGAGATTACGAGAAGCGTGCGACGAAACGTTAGAAACATCGATGGCGAAATTTTCGTCACTGTAATTTGACAAACTACAGAATGCGATGAGAGTGCAAATAAAATGGAAGACATGCAATATTTTACTGAACTTATTTGGTCTCACAATGTGAGAAATAACAAATTATAATCATCGCTGACAAAAAGATGTACGAAAGATGAACTGAAAAAAATGAAAGTTTGGCAAACAACTAAACTACTTGTAATAATAAACATCAAATCGACGTGTGTGAAAAAAGGCATAATCAGCTGACATTCAATTATGGAAAAAAAAAGGAAAAAATAATTTTTAACACTTCTTGATTCGAAGATGAAACTATCTTGGATAACTCTAATGAACTGAGTAAATGAAAGAAACTAAAAAAAATTAACGAGATAGAGAGCGAAGCGCACATGATTATGCATTTGGAAACTACCTGGTCGACTCTGACCGAGAGACGTAGTCGCGATTTTTAATAATCATCAAGGTCGACGTCATCAAGAGGCTCTTCAGCCTGCAATGACTGGAAGTCGACTTTGTAGCGAAGGATTCCTAAATGCCGAAAAACTTGAGAATTAGATACCTGTTCAATGTAACCGAACGTTGTTTTGTCATTTTTAAGATGATTTACTGTTTGTGTTAAGCTTTCTGGTTTTTTTCTCAATTATTTCAATTCAGTATAGTACATCAGAAAACCAACGCGTAAAGAGTATTCATCTTAACGGTTATTTGGAGACACTTTTTATTAATTTAATCAAGTAATTATTAGAAAATACTGACCTCCAATGCCACCAAAACCTCGCACAAATTGAGAACCTTCTTGAGACTTGTCTGTAATAATTTCTAGGGTTGCGCCAAAGCTCTTGTAATTGTTTGCAAGCCATTCCAACAGAGGTTGACATTCCACCAGCTCCAATTCAACGCCGCTCTAAATAATTATTCATGGTAAGTTATTGATTGTACTTTAAAAGTAATATCGAGAAAAGTTTTTTATTATAATCACCTCTTTATCTGTAAAGTGCGTTTTGTCTTTTTCTTGTTCAGGCGTCAAGTGAAGAACTTTCTCTTCGCCGTTTGTGTGATTTTTCAAAACGTATCTTTGAATGTCGAGATTTTCCCAACATATCAGTGTTTCAACACTACCCAATTCGAGTGCTCTCAATGTGTCTTCAACACCGAAACAGTATTTACCCGTATCTTGAGAAATTTCATCGAAATAACGACCAATAAGTTTCTTTTCTTGGATAAATTTGACGTTCTGCAACGACTCAGCTGCGAGTTCAATGGCTTGATTAAAACCATTTTCACCGCCATAAGAAACATCGACTAGCTTGATGATTTTAGCTTGCAATCTCTGTAAAAAGTAATTAACTTTAGTACTAGTGTACAGATTAGATTTTATCCGAATTTTAAAAACGATGAAATAAACTTACTGGGTCAAACATGTCAGACTGGCTAAGCTCAGTTTTGAAGTCAGCACTACCAGCAAGAATGAGTCCGGCAATGTTTGGCTTATCATTTGTAATGTACAATTGTGTTGCTACTTCAGCTACTTTTCGCACATAATTGTGACGCTTTTCCATACGCAATCGAGCGAAACGTAAAGCTGACTGACCTCCTCTACCTGGAAAAGAATTATAATGTTCAATTCATCAAATTTTTAGGAAAGTAATTTTAGATCATGCTATTGAAATGGCCAATACTGCGATTTGTTCATAAACAGATACTGAATCAGTTCGAAATTATAAACGAGTTTGTTCCAGTGTAAACCAGAATGGAGTAAGTGTTATATAAGAAGATAAATAAAATTATCTTAAGAATTTCAAATCATACCGTGCTTTTTGGGTAAATCCACTGTAAATTTATGCAAAACTTCTCTTGTATTTCCTTGGAGTGTACCAAAAAGTGCTCCATTACCATCCATAACAATAAAACCAAATTTATTGTCATCAGCAAGTAATGCTGTGAGAGCTTCAGTGTGGAACTACAGAAATAGAATAAAAAAGATTAAAAATTGGAAGGGATTATTAAAAAAAATAAAAATTATTTATTATTTTACCTTGTTGTCACAAAGATAAAGGGATGTATTGATTGGTTTGAAAGGTTCAAAATCAATATTGACTTTCTTTTCTTTGCCTTCATCCGTAACAATTGTTCCACAGTAGATGACCAAACCATTTGCAGGTACTATAATAAATTGATAGTATTAATTCTCAAGAATTTATGATTATGATTTGTAGTAGAATCAATGAAGATTTGTTTACCACCTTTGGTATATAATTTCAACCTATGCTGTACAGACGTAATGGCACCAAGGACGGAAAGTCTGTTGACTCGAGACTTAATATTGGATGCTGTACCAAATTCATCGGCCAACATTTTGCTGACTCTAGAGATTTGATCTTTTGGTGGAATGATTAGAGAAATCATACTGGTGCCATTTCTGAATAAAATAAAACAAAAAAGATAAATAGATGTATTAGTGTTATGTAATAAATGAAAATTCATATTATTTAAGTGAACTTATGATAAAGAAGAAAGTATGTGTGAGTTTTTAATGGATTCAACTGCTTTGTTTTAAAAAATCATTTCCAAAATAGAGTATTAAATTTAATGACATAATAATGTATCGCTATCTCTTTATAAGCATTTAATTGTGATTCAAGTACTTTATGTAGAACTAATTATACTAATCAAGCATTATTATTAATTGGAAAAGCCTCATTTTCATAATAATTCAGTGACTGTTGTTATTCTGAAAAAAAAAATAACGTACTCTCTTGTTATTTGACAGTAATAATTTCAAGTTCAAAGGCATCATCTGAATCATAATAACAATCATTGACATCGTCGATTACGGAACCATCAATCCTCTCGTTGAACATTCCGTGAAATTCAGTAGCGAGACAAAAAAAAAACCGACGAATCTACAGTGGCAAAAATACAAGTACGAGAGTCGAGTTGGATTTCCTTCCACAAGTCATGTCGACGGGTATACATTCCGAAAGTCTGCGTCTCGCCTGTACGTAGACACATCTTGTAACACACATGTCTCCATGAAAGATGTACGAAGCGAGACAGAGAGATAGAGAAAGCATCCATGCCTGTATAATACAACATCGCACACGCATCGCGGAGCATCGTGTTATATAGCAGCCGGCCACCTAACCCCGCGTCCACGTGTTTGCTCGTCATTCGTGTCCTATTTCGAGATGCATCTTCGTCGGAAAAACAAAACCCTCCCTCGAGTTATTTCCCCCGAGTCCCTTCGAGGCCGCGTGAAGCAAACATCGCGACGATCGGAGTCGATCGGGCGCGAAATCGTAATGACGACGACGACGACGACGACGCCGAGATCTCGCGGGGCCCCCGGCGCACAACACATACTCGATGCTCGCTCGCTCTCTCCCTCAACATATGGCAGAGACGTGTAAAACGCAGGCACTAGCTATCATTAGTCGAAGCACAGAACACACGAGACAGGCGTGAAAGGGCGATTGCACTTACCCTCTGGCCATTTCCAAGCTCTTGATGAGCTTCTTGATCTTCCAGATTTCGACATTGCGATCGGCAGAAGTTTCCTCGTTCGACATGTTTGCAGCTCAAGTCGTGGATTGATACTGTGCGAAAGGATGTATATGTATTTATATTATCTATATATGTGTGTATAAATCCGTGTATAAGCTGTATACGTGTGCGTCTGTGTACGAGTGTACACGGCGATCGACTGTAGTTACACGGCGGCGGCGGCGGCGGTGGCGGCGGACGAATTATATTCTCTATAATATGCTGCTGCTGCTGCTGCTGCTGCTGCTAGCGGCTTGTTGGGTTATATACGATCTCGGCAACAGTATTAGTGTCCCGTTACGACGACGACGATGCGATGTGTGTACCTATAAAAGCACCGTATATAGCAGCGCACGCACACTCTCGCGGCAGAAAACACACCAGTCTTTTCGCGCTGCTGATGCTGCTGCTGCTGCCGCTGCCACTGGCACCAGTCCACCTCCTTCTTCGTACGCACTTATGTCCTCCCCCCCTCCACCTACGACTCCTACTGCTAGGATGTCCTGCGTGTGCGATAATACCGCAGACGGCTCCTTGGGGCACGACGTTGCTGCGCTGCTCCAATTATGTATTATTGCCACCTGCAAAATGGACAAAACAGAGCGAGAGGAAAGTTTTTAATACTGCGGTGAATAATCATCGAGAACGCCTGCGTTCGTATTTAATAGCCCAAAAGCTCGAGCGCGATCGATCGCGTATACACACTCGTGCATGATAATTACAATAACAACGTGCGTGTGTGTGACGCGAGCGACGACCCCACACGAAAAATCAAGGCACACAGGCGTATGAATGTATATATGTAGAGTCAGCGGCTTTCCAATAGGACGGAGCGCGAGACGTTTGATGTGTAGTATACACGCGCCCATGAAGCCGCTGCGCCCGATGCTGCCCCCGAAAAGCCGTATACAATATTTCAACGTTTCAAGGGAGGGAGAGAAAGGAGCAGAGAGAGAGAGAGAGAGAGATGGAAAAAGAGAGAAAAAGCACGCGCAACCCGATGTAGTGCACGTATTACTTTTACGTTGTATAAGCTCTCTCTCTCTGTCTCGAGTGATCCGCCGCGAACCAGTGCAAACTAGATTCAACAATGCTCGTGCAGCGCGGTGTGTATCGGCGACCGTACAACATGGGAGCCTCGTGTGTGCACATTAAATTGGCAGCACACGACGATTAGCCGCGGATTTCAATCTTCGTCGACGGCTTTACGGCGGCTCCGATATGCTGCTGCTCCTTTTAATAAGAAACAAAAATGTGCACACGATGTAAAATCTCTCTCTCTCGAGAGAGAGAGAGAAAGGGAGTCGAGTCATTTAAATCGAAAAATTTCATGGCGGGCGCGCTCATACGACGATCAAGAGCCTCCCCCTCGCGCGCCAATCACGCGCCCGCCGTATATATTGCGATTGTGGGTGCACGCACGGCGACGTTCCGTTTTATCGACGAAGAGAGGCAGCGTGGGGAAAAAGGGGGAGGGGGGGGGGAGGCGTCATGTGCTCGCTGTTAATTAATTAATAATACATAGCATATAGGATGTTTATCTGCGAATGCTCTTTAACGAGGTTATGGGAAGTTTTCAGTGACTCACGCGCTATCGATGTTAATGGAGAGAAATTATTATTATTTTTTTTCTTCAAAATAAATCACGAAGCGATGTGTATACTGTATATAGTATAAGTCAAGGCAGGATGAAGTCGCGCACATGCACGCGCGTATGTGTATGCGATATAAATCGTACGACTGCTGCGCGCGGAGAATAAATCAATGGGACGCGCATCGATGCTGCATATAGTGCAGCGCGAAGGACGAGCTGGCACTGAAATTTGCACGCGTCTGTGTGTACGATTGCATTGGATGACTTTTTAAGACAGAGAGACAGAGAGTGAGAAAGAGAGGTAGAGAGACAAGTGACGGCATACGTTAGGTATGTGCAGAAAAAAAAGAAGATACTCATCGCGGCACTTTTGGAATCGTGTTCGACAGAAGCGAGAGAGAGAGAGAGAGAGAGAGAGAGTAATTGAGAAAAGTCGCTATTGCTGTATTTACATGTCGCGGAGGGTAAAATACGCGCCACCTATCTAATGCACGCCTAGCGCAGTCGAAGACATTTGACGTATACTGCACTTATTTATACACATACAGAGAGGAGAACAACTATAGCACTCACGCATATGTAACGATGGATATGTATTATTTTACGGTTACCGATGTAAGTCAATGCTACTGTCGCACACACTGAGATTTCTATATATCATAACCACTCGAGTTGCAATTGTTATGACTTTCTTTTTTTGCCTTCTGTGAATCCAGCCACACGCACGAAAGAGCACACACTGCAGCACGCGCGTTCGAAAACGTTCGCGAATATGCCTTAATTTTTTTCCCGTCCAGAGAGACAAATGTCACGAAAAATTTTCACCCCTTGTTGAATATAAAAACGCGATCTTGTGTTAAAATGATTACGATTTATCGTTTTTTTTTTTTATACCTACGATGTGCGTGCGTTTATTCGACACGCTCGTGCAGAAAACGCGAGCTGCTGTTTTGCTGTTGCTGCTATACTGATTCTGCAGAGAACATGTATGTTACGCTGTACAAAAATATATACCTGTATATATGCAACGATCAGCTTGCTGCAGAGCTAAGTGTATCGTAGAGTATAACATACAGCTATATAGTCCGTTCGAGCGAAAGAAGGAGAGAAGAAAACGCGATCGCGATGACAGCGAGAGTTCGGAGTCGTGTTGCAAGAGAGTAACTCTGTGCATTGCCTTGGTCAGTTGAGTTTGCTAACTCCAGAGGGCAGCAGGCGGTGGAAAATTCAATTTATTCTTAATGCAAGATCGAGCGCGAAATTTCGTCGTCGTTTGTATTTTTCCTCAATTTTTGTTTCGATGGGACTTTGAAAAATTATCGGATATAATCGTAATCTCGAATTAATTGCCGCAGCGATGATATTGGAATCGCGACGAAATTTCAAACCTAATTCACTGTTACCGGCCGAGGGCGCGCGAAATTATATTCATTCGCTCGCGCGGAGTTGGCAGCGCGCGACTTGCAAGTTGCAAGGGCAATAACTGCAGCCAGCAGGCAGCACTGCCGCACTGGCGCCAACGATTTGGTTTTTCGCGTCTACAGAGTGGCAACACTCGATGTTTATACAGTCGATCTGGCAGTTAGCACGCGCGTTGCGAACTTTTCGAGGTTAACCATTGAGTTCAAATTGAAACCCAGTGCGATGTGAATCCGAATGACAGTAGCAAGCCCACAACAAAAAATCGTGAAATCTTTTCTTTTGTTTTGCCACTGCGACTACTGACAGGACTCGATTTTTTTTTTTTAAAAAAAGGTATCGAGTATCTTATGGACCGGGCAGTTTGTTTTTAAATTTTGTCACTCGAAGTGAATGAAAATGTTGAGAAAAGTCGAAATCAACGACGACGTGTATTTGGTTTGCCTTCAACATGCCCTGTCGACGGAAAATTACGAGGTCATGGGTCTTCTCATTGGCGATGTAAGTAAATAATGCAATACATACATTCGATGGATTTTCGATCGTCAGTAATTAATTAAATGATTTATCGTTGCTTCGCAGCACAACAACGGCGTTACCGAAATATCGGCGGCTATAATTCTGAGACGCTCGGAAAAAAAGAAGGACCGAGTGGAAATATCACCGCATCAATTGATAAACGCCACCTCGGAGGCCGAACAGTTGACCGAGACCATGGGTAGGAAGATGAAAGTCGTCGGTTGGTATCACTCTCATCCGCACATAACTGTCTTTCCATCGCACGTTGGTAATTATTCGTCTCTTGATCTTGACAAAAAATAATTGTTTACTCTTCATTTTACTCACGTTAATAATTCTAAATGATTTTCAGATACAAATACCCAACAAATGTACCAAACAATGGATCCCGAATTTGTGGGATTAATATTTTCTGTATTCACAGAAGACAAAAGCAACAGAGTATGATTTTAACTGAACCATTCAAGTATAAAGTTTAAGTAAAATTGACCTATTTAAAATTATTTTTGCAGGCAAGAGAAGTGGAAATGACATGTTTCCAAACGCATAATGGATCAGCTCAGGACATTCCTATTTCAATTAATTATACTTCAGACATATCTGAACATTGTTCCACGGTTAGACCATCATTTTATTATTGTATCATTTTTTTAATTGTCAAATAACTAAATAAGTCAATTAAATATTTATCGCAGACGATGGTGAATTTATCTAAAATATTAGCTCAAGAAGAAGAAGATATGACAGTAGATTCTAAAAGACATCCAGATAGACTTACTGCCATACATAATGAAGCAGGTAATAATATTTTTGTTTACTCTATATTAATGAAATTTTAAAAAAATAATAAAAAAATATTAATTTTAGTGCAAACAAGAGCGCTTGGGCATGTTACTGATATTGTTACGAGACCACTACTGCAAGTATTTATAGAAAGATTAAAATCCAATAATAATCGCGTTGCATACTTGAAAAATCATATAGAAGAGTTAAAAAAAGAGTTAGAAGATTTAAAAGAAGCTGAAAGATGTTAATGAACATATGAAAATTATTTTTATACAGCATTAACTAGTTTAAGAGCTCCAAGTGATATAATACTATATTATTACTGTAATAATAATTAAATTTTTATGGAGGCGTTGATCATTAAAAAATTTCAAAATATTTTAATATAATTTTTTATTTTATTTCTTATGAACGAAAATCAGGCAATAATTAACTCACTTGCTACATATTTACACTAAAAGAACAGCGTCGTACTTAAATATACTTGGAGTGTATTTAAAACACTGATTCTGCAGAACGAGAAAGATGGATGGGATGAGAAGGACTACGAGCTAGCCTTTTGCGAGGCAGCTTTTCAAGAGTCGTCAAAAGCTTGGCGAATTCTGGTCGACTGTCGGGATGAAACGACCAACAATGCATTAAAATATCCTGAAAATGTTCATCGATTATTAAATAGAGATCTGATGTGATTTAAAAAAATTATTGTGAGAATTTGATAATGTAACTATACCTTAACATCGCGTGATGCTTGTAAATTGGCCAAAGTTTGTTTCATTCCTTTGCCCACTTGCCAAATAATGGCTTCGGGTGGTTGTCCTTTAAACGGCCATTCACTGCATAGTAATTCATACCAGACAGTACTAAAATTCAAACGAATAGTTTCAGTTTATAAATTAATACAAAAAAGAGAGACAAAATAAGATGGAATAATTTTTACCCAAAAGCATAAACATCGGATGCTGCTGTGAAAGGCAGTTCTTCTTGATCTCTGTTTTGTCGAGGTCTCAATCGCCTAATAATTTCAGGCGCCAAGTAACATAGCCAGCCAGGTGGTATGTTCAGTCCATTTCCTTTTCTGTAATTTAATTATCCATCACATATTATCACTATTACACGAGAGTCGCTTTTGTTTAGTTAAAAAATATACCTGTTCCTATAACAGAGCTTAGTGACACTGAACAAACCAAAATCGGTTATCACAACTTTTCCATTTTCAAGGAATATATTTTTACTCTTGAGATCTTTGTGGACGATTCCTCGAGCGTGAAGATACCCCATTCCCTAAAAATGAGCAGTAGATTTTAATTAATCGAAATTTTAATTTTTGTTGCTTAAAAGTTATGACTATCTTTTTTTTGCACATACCTGTGAGATTTGTTGAGCAATGATTGTAGTCTTATTCATATTAAATTTATCCTTACGCAAATGAATGTGAGTGTAAAGAGTCATGCCTTTGCTCATGCTAGTCACTATAGCCAAACGCGGAGGTTTCATACAAGCACCCATAAATAGAACTAAATTTTCGTGTCTAGTTTTACGGAATGTCGCGACCTAAACATAAAAAAATTAATTCATTAATAAATTTTGCACGGATTCGTGGAAAATGATCGAACATAGATATTTACCTCTAATTTAAATGCTTCGAGTGTTTTATCGTCGTCGAGATAATAATCCATATCTAAAACCTTAATAGCTACGTCACCGTGCCAATTGCCTCGGAAAACAGTACCGAACCTACCCTTACCAATAGGTTCACCGATTTTCAATTCGTCGAACGGAATGTCCCATTCGCGAATCGATAGCTGCAAAATGAACATCAATTTGTTTAACGAATTTCAAAAAAATTGATAATTTCATTAAAAGAATGCTTACGCTATTTTGTCTCGGCCAGCGTCCATCGCCTGGTTCACCGTCCGACACTTGCGAATCTTGCGAGTCGACCCTGACGGGTGTGCGCTCCGAATCTGTACTAACGCTACCAGATCCGGATACGCTCACTGTCCTATCGCTATCGCTAGATATCGTATTTTCCAGTCTATGTGTTTCTAGAGTTACGCCTTTATTCTCGTTCGACGAAACATCTGTGGGGTAGAAAAGAAAATTTACGTAACTAAGTAATCGATGAAATCTCAGTCCAAGATTTATCATACCTGGAAAGTGGAACTGTTGTTTAGACGGTGCTTGGGGAGTTTGGCTCGCCGGAACAGGTAACAAGGCTGGACTAGAAGGTGTTGAGCTGTTACAGCTCGATGTGTTTGAACTAGAATCGGCACCCTGGTGGTAACGGCACGTATATTTATTATGCCAAAAATTTATTTGTAAACTTGATGATGGATTACGACGTTTCTGCTGTATACGTGATGATGTGAAGAAAAAAAAATAAAGTCGAAAAAAATTATAATTTTTCAGTGCTATTGCTGCATGTGTGTTAGTAAAGCAAGATGAATGTGAAAATAATAACTCAAATAGTCAGATAATAAATGAATTGATGTGGTTCAAGTGAGGAGTTTTATAAATGTATGAGTTTACTCAATAATATTTAAGTACCTGAAATGCTGCTGTGTTTACCGCTTGAAGAGGATGAGACCTCTTTTTACGGTCTCTTCTTAAAGAAACTAAGATATTTGGATTTTGATGATTTGGCGACATCAAGGTTGGTTTGTTTAAAATTGGCGAGGCATTAACAGCTGGAACGAAAAATGCAAGGCAATGTTACAAGTTAAACGAATTGTATTTCAAATTATATGATTAAATATTTTTATGGGAAAAAAATTGCAGTTGTTTTGTGTTAAATGTTGAACCAAATTGTTAAACTTGTACACTTCCATTGTTTCACAATTTTTTTTTTATAATTATGAGCGGCCAATTTCACTTTCCACTCATTATACCTTTTAAATATAATTATAAATAAAGTAAATTGATAAATAAAGTATATACCATCAGCTTGTATAGTCCGTTTGAATTCATCAAAAAGTTCTTGAGGTAAACCACATGAAGGGGGCACCTTGGATTCACAGTCTCTATGACACTTATATTTACACTCTTTGCACTTAAGACCCGTGCCTATAAACATTTGTTTATCACAGTAATCACAAGTAGTCATCATTTTAAATGTTTTTGTAAAACGATGATTAATAACATGTCCCATTCCACGAGTCACTGTTGGCGTTCTAGGAGACTTTGGCACTTGAAGACTCGAAACTAAAAACAATACAATACTATGTAGCATTTGTAAAAATTATTAAATCACTTATATCACAGGTGCAATATAGTACCTGTTCCCTTAAAACTATTTTCTTCACTTTCAGCACTGGAATACAGTGGAGATTTAATAGGACTGTTACTGTTTGGTAACAAGTTATCACTGATCGCTTCTGCCCCACTGTAAGAACCAGGTTCAGTAGGTAAACGATTTCTTCTAATCATAGTGGCTGTTTGTTGTTCATTAGTACAACTGAAAAAAATGTAAACATTAAAACTAATTGATTCTATTGGTATTCAGTGATAATATTAACACATACCTTGCATTAGCTTCTCCATTTTCCATACAATTAACTAATTGGGACTCATGAGATTTAGACTTGGTGAGTGAAAGATTTTCAAGCTGTAAAGTGTCATCAGCATCAGATGGATTTCTCTTTGTTAGTGTAGGAGTCTCAGGGTATTTTGATCCCTGATTTTTTATGTTCAGAGGTGTGGAAGGTGGACTGGTAGAAGTAGATAAACTTGCAACAGATGATGATTGTGCCAATGCATCACTGTTAAAATTATTATTATTATTATGGTATGGAATGCTATCTTCAGAGGGAACAGAGCTGCGAGTAACACGGCATCGAATGGGTCTAGGAGATGGGTTACTTTTGATTTGCTGTTGAGTCCATGAATCCCAGTACAAATTCATGTCACTATTATCTATTTCACCTTTATATAATACATCTAGATATTTGAAATTAATGAAAATTAGTTATTTTAAGTTCTATTTCAATGTACTTAACAAAAACATTTGTTTTTTTATTCACCTATATAACGTCGAAGGTTGAGAAGGGCTGTGCATAATCTTCTCAGATCTTCTTCTGTCTGTATATTTCGAATACCTAACATACTGTTAAGCTCAAGATCTGATTTGTCTTTTAATGAATTCAAGGAAGTGACCTTTGAGAGGATTGTCTACCATAGATAAAAAACAAATATTAAAATTGTATTCTTTCATGTAGATACTTGATAAAAACAAACTTATAAACCTACCTCCACTGATTCGGATGTGAGACTCACAACTCGAAGCCATTGTTGCAGAGTTTGTCTAATATCGACCGGCGATGATTCATATGCAAGCTTTTCTTTGGTGATAATAAGTCTAGCAAACAGTTTGATAAGCTTTCCCTAAAGAGAAAAGAAAAGGAAAACCATAAATATAATTTCAAAATAAAGCAACATGATTATGGAAAAAAGCTCTAGTTCTGAACTGTTTATACCACCCAAACTAATTCTAATAATTTGGTATCGTTTGCTTCAAAATTGCAAAAACTAGATGTATTCTCAAAACTCAAAGCACTGTGCACGAAGCAAATTGTTCATTATTTTCAATGTCAGTGCTCTTTGTATGTGTCACGAAGCAATACTTGATTAAATCATTGCTTTGTGCACACTATCTACATACGTGCGTTACTTTCAATTCACAATACACATGAAAATCATCCATAAACAGATAAGTTATTCGAGGCAGAAGGAGAGATGTAAATCTATATAATATAACGTATAGAATAAGAATGCGCGACAGCGTCACGGAGAGCTGCAATGACGAGGTACACATTGCAAGGATACGCTTCTCTATGATAAAATTTCATAATGTATGTACGCACCTCGAGCGTGCGAATCTCCTGCTGGGTGAGCTCGACGCTGGTCGAGCACTGGGTCCTGAGGCCCTCCAGCCGATCGGCCGATATGTCGATCATCGACTGTATGACCTCGAGGGCCCTGCGCAACTCCTGCTGCTGCTGTTGCTGGGGCTGGGGCTGTTGCTGTTGCTGTTGCTGCTGCTGCTGCTGTGGCTGTTGCTGAGGCTGATGCTGATGATGCTGCTGCTGGCTACCCGCAGCAGCGGTCGCGGCTGCACCCTCGACGGCCTTGTCTGTCTCGGCCGCCGCCATCCTGGAGAGCAGCAACAAGCGCCGCCACCGCTGCTGCCTCCTCGAGGGCAGCAGCAGTTCCTCCTGCGCCACCTCAACCTTATTTTCTCGGTCGTCGTCGTGATTGACCAGGTCCTCGTCGACGTCGTCGTCCTAGTCGTTGGCGTTGCTACTGGTGTTGTTGTTTGTGCTAAAGTCGTCGTCGTCGCCGTCGTCGTCGTTTGTGTTGGTGTTCTGGTATAGAGCCCCGTCGTCGTGTACTCAGCACTTTTTTCTTCTCGCGTATATACAATATTATTATTCCACTATATCAGCACACCGTAGCGCGTCCTCGTCGTCGCGAGTCGTCGTCGTCGCTGTCTCGCCCTTACACGCGAACGCTTATTACATTTATTATTAATAGTATGCTCGCGCTCGATTTGTGTATGTATACGTATCGTATCCGTGACCTAGTGACTGGCAGGCGCTTCGCGGCAGGCTGCACATTTGCCTCGCGACTATGTGCTGCTGCTGCTGCTGCTACTGCTGTGATGCGTTGTGTATTGTATATATACGCGACGAACACATATAGATATATGTCGTGGTGCACACATATGCGCTCCGCGTCTATATATCTCTCTCTCTCACCTTTTCGCTGCTCTCCTTGCGCTCTACTACTGCTATATAGCTTAATATGTGTGTGTGTGTACGTATACGCTTGCTGTGGGTATGTGTTGTGTATATATCGTGTGTTGTACGCGATGATATTTGGTCGTCACTGCGCACACCTGCGCGACCCTCGCACGCTTAATGTACGCAATAACTATATATGTAGGTATACAACATACGCGTACGCTGCAAACGTATATGAATATATACCTGCCCGTACTGCCAAGTGCTCTATGGAGCTCGTGACACTGCCGCGTTCGATGCGTTATTCCTTTAAATGTATCATATGCCTAATCATTGTAAATATATGAAGATACGTAAATTGTTACGAGACGTCGGAGTCTGCTCCGTTTTTGAAGATGCTTCGCTTCCTTTTCATTGATATTTAATGAAGGAAATTTCGAACGCTGCTCGTGTGTTTTTTTCCTGATCAACAATGGAGCATCGCAAAATTGTTGCTCCGATACAACAACATTCGTACATATGTAAGCTCGGTGCACTCTCGTTCGTTGCAACATTTATCCATGCTTTTTTGCACATTATACACAGATCGTGTTTTGGAGTTACGGGCGGCTATTTGGGTGGCTTTACTTATGACGGAGAGGACGTGTCCCTCGTTCAATTTGATCTCTTTCTGCGGTGGATGCACGTATAGAGAGGTATAGAATTACGCGCTTTTTTTGTTGCTCTCTCTCTCTCTCTCTCTTTACGTGACGTCAGTGTGCGCGGCGCTGCTCGAATGCTCGCACGCGTTCGTGCTGTGCATATGCAATAATAATGCATTAACGCGCGGCGATAATGCTTGATCGTGCTGGCTGACACGTGCAAGGATGATCTCGAACGACAATCGTCGAGAAATCGCGCTATCGGAATCGCACGTACAATTTTTATGATCCCGCGGCGATATCTTCTGTTACTTTTTTTTTTTCTGGGTTAACGCAGAATAACGAGGCTTCGTGTGAATTCGTTCGTGATTTTTATTATAGAAAAATGTTAGCCGAAAACGGCCATCAGTTTACAGAATTTCCAATGGACGAATTGATTTTTTAGTGAAAGATAATGTTTTATTACAATTGCAAGGTTTTGATGTGGTCATTCGATTCATTTACAAAAAAAAATTTATCAACGCAATTTCGAGCATAAATGATTCATGCTTGAAAATTGTACATTCAATTGATTCTTTTTTTACTTATAAAAATTGTTATTAATGTACAGCTAATTGTAGTGGTTACGCCTGTCCATAAAGCTTCAGCGTTCTATCCATACTCGTGGATGCAACGTACTGAGCGTGTTTTCCAAATCTCACACCAGTGGCAAGTGCAGTGTGATCGTTCAAGATTTTCAATTCACTCCACATTTTACATAAGTATACCCTGTGTAAAGCATCAAAATTAGTACAGTGAAATTGGATCGATTATTTTTGAATAATATTAAAATTTCATGACAGTAACACTCACCTAACATCAGTTCCAGCGATAGCTAAATAAGTACCACTTTGGTCAAAACAAATGTCTTTAACTTCGTAACCCTCGTCAAGTTGCAGGGTTTTGAAATTTTTCAATTTACGCAGATCCCATAGTTTTACACATGAATCTTCAGCTGACGTCGCTAAATAGTAACCATTCTCTGAAAAACTAATAGCTGTAATTGGTCCAGTGTGACCAGGGAAGTTGGCTACATTAGATTGTTCCTTCAAATCCCAAATTTTCACTTGTGAATCTGCTGTTCCAGTACCAAAAATCAATCCATCAGGATGGAATTGTGCTGTAGTGAGTGGTTGTTGACTTTGGCCAGAAACCTTCAAAATTAAATTTATCATTAGCATTAAACTTATTACGGTTGTTAATATTCTTATTTTTAAATTATACCTTTGTCAATAATCTTCCAGTACGTATGTCAGAGAAAGCCCAATAGGAGTCTAGGGATGAACTTAAAAGATAATCACCAGTAGGATGTAATGAGAGACCATTGACGGGTGCTTCATGAGCTTTGAGTAAAAGAGAAGTTTGACATGTTTGAACATTCCAGATACGAATTGTAGAGTCAGATGATGCAGTAATAGCAACATCTTCTTCTGGATGGTAAACAACTTTGGTAATCTTAAAAAAAAAATTGCAGTTTTATAATAATATTTTTAAAAATTTGGATATTTCAATTGACTGAAATTTACCTTTTTGGAATGACCTTTCAGTACAGCAACAATTTGTTCTGTGTCTTTATTAAATACTGTAGCATTTTTATCTGCTCCTCCTGTCAAAATTTTACTTGTGTCAGAAGCATGAATGTCCAAAGCTAAAATACCAGGAACACTTGCTGAGTGAAGACCCTGTATTGAAAATTTTTCTTATAAATAGAATTCATCTCAACAGAATAGATTACAGACAGAAAAACAAACAATATTATCAGATATCAGAGTGTTTTAAATAATTATTCTTACAGGATGTGAAGCCAGAGTTTGAAATGATCGTATATTTTCTTGGGAAACCAATTCCTCTGGAACAGATCGACCTCTTCTCTTTCTTTCTTGTGTGAGAACAGTAGCTTTTTCTTGCAATTTCTGAATGACATCTTCTGTAATGCCAGCTTGTTCTGTAGGTTGAGCTGCAATACCACCAGCTTCTGCAGCCAGTGCTGGTTGAGCTGTAGCATTTTGGGCAATTCCAGCTTGTGGTTTTAATGTGGCCAAAGCTTCTCTAGCAGCCGTTACTTCCTTTGTTAATCGAGCAATTACTCTACATGCAGCGTCATGCTGATATAATGCATGAGAAAGTTCTTGTCTTGCTGTTTGCAATTGTTGCTTCAAAGTAAAAGAGTGCAGCATAACAGCATCCCACTCATCTTGAAGGATTTTCAAAATAGCAGGTATAGATGTAGCACTTGGAGGTTTTGGCTTTGTAACTGGTGGAGCTATAATAAACAGAGTATGACACTGTACTTGAAATATTAAAAATATAAGTTTTTAACAATTTAAGGCTATGTATATTAACAGACCAAATATTAGTAAACAAAAATAAGACTCGTTTTTTTTTTTTTTAGTTATTTGTAATAAAAATATGAACATTTAAAAATGAGCTCAAGTACAAATCAAACATGTGATAATAACAACTAGTTCTTACTTTTGACTTCAATCAATTGCTCGATTGTCAGTTCTTGGCCGTTGACTGGATCAACTCCGGCTTCATTGACGTACTTCTCGATTAGCCGTTTCTCGAAAATTGCTCCAGACACCGGTGAGATCACTGGATGATCCGGCACCTCGTTCGAAACTGTATAACAATAAAAACACAAATAAAAACTTTGAAATTTAAAAGTAAATCAATCGCTGCGATTGAGGTTATGATAAGCCGGTTGCGTAGCGTAAGTACAAAACTTGCTGAAATTAACAAATACTGTTAATGAATGAAAAAGTAAAAAAGAAAGCTCAAGAGAACGACATTGACAGAAAGATGTCAGAAGGTAACACTTTTCCAAAAACAATAAAAGGAAAATAATCCGACTCACTTGCGCAGGTGAGCGACATATTCGCACGCGTTCGATTTTCACTCGCTCACGACGCGTAGCGTACTGAAGAGTCAAAAATTTTGCCAGCGCGCGTGGTGCGAAACTATAGCATGAATCTATGAAAAATTTCAAACTTGCAGCAAAGGTGATCTTGTTAATGAATACCTATTATAGACTTGCAAAACTCAGTTAACGTACAGCAAGGTCATTTAGTTTTATTTTTCATGGTTATTTGGTTTCGAAAATTTAATGAGAACTAATATAGAAAAGAACGTTAAAATATAATAAAAATTTTTTATTTATAAAAATTTAATAATATTCAGTGCATATTATCAATCTAAAATCAAACTCTTTAGCTGTATATTCGTTCACATTTATACCATTATGATAATTAATTGTCTCTGATAATAATTAAAATTAATTTATGATTTCGTAATTTGAAGAACAATGTTGACTTAAAATGTAATATAACATTATTTAATCTCTATTTTCAATGAAACTAAATTAAGACTAAAGCACAAGTTGAGAGTCCATGAAATTGAACCATTAATAAAAAATTTAAGTACTGCGTTGCGATGACCGTTTTTCATGAAAAATCCTTTGCTTTCCAAAAGTTCAATAATAGATAGGATATTTTGGGTTGTTTTTAGATTTGGTAAAGATTGATTGTCAGGTTTAAATAAACCGTCTTGAAAGTTTACAGTGTCTACATCAGCACTTAATCCAAGCAATAATTTGACTGCATGGTAATTCGAATAAGACACCGCCACATTCAGTAAAGAATTTTCATCTTCAAATTTAAGATTGACATCCATTCCATGTTCTAAGACTTTCAATTACACAATATTCTATCCCGCAGTTGTCCATGTAAGGTTTTTTGTAGGTGCAATCCTATGTATTAATTATTCATAATTGGCGCTCGTAAATGATAAAATAAATATCTTTTTGAATCCTCTTATCAAATAATACATGTTTGTTAATATTTTTTTTAATACAATTATCGACTCAGCATTTTGCCAATAGTGTCGTATAAAAGCCGTATAATTCAGGAATCCAAAATATACCACTATGTATAGTTTATTGATGAAAACAGTAATTTAACGTAGCTTGTGAATGCCAATAGAATGATAATTAGCCCTTAACGATTGCGATTTTTTTCTGCTCTATGCATTATTGGATTCTCACGGGGAAAACCAATTTGAGATTTTCACAAATCATTTCAACAACCTTACTTTGATTTATTCTTTTTTTTTTAATTTGATAGAATTTTCCCGTGGTTGTATAGGCTATTGAATCAAAAAGGAGTGAATATTAGATGAACAATATAAAATATAAAACGAGTAACTTAACATTTGCTTTATTTGTACATGAAAAATGTTTTGCAATACTATAGTAATAGTGAAGGAATAAATGAGATTCGTTTTTTCGTGTGTATGAAATTACTTTTATTGTATAATTTTTCCAAAAGTACCGCTTAGAATATAATATATTATTTCGTAAATTATTTAGAAGTTTGCTGCACTTATGTCGGTAACGCGTAGGAGAATCGGTGGACCCTTGCGCGTGGCGCTAGTTGTAGTCGTCGAGTTTCTGACAACGTTGGTATAGTGTGCTATTGTATGACCAGCATTATTGACTTCCCTGGCAAAAGATATTCATAATCCTAGTAAAGACAGAAAAATAATTTTAAATACTGTCAAATACCACCAAAGAATCTTTGCCGGAATTGGGAATTTGATATTTGCCAGTATTTAAAATTATTTTTCTGTCTTTACAAGTAATAAATAATTATAGAAATTCTTAAAAATTATTTAATATTCTTAAATTTTATTTTGAATTCTTTTTTATTAGAAATTCATTATGATTTATTCGAATTTGATATTATTGAGCATGTTTTTTCATTGATTATTGAGTGATCATATTGATCAATTTACAATTTACAAATAATAGTATTTTCAGACGTTTAAAATAAACTGTCTGATTAATTGGACAATTACGATTGAATTGCGTGAATGTGAGAAATATAAAATTAGGTTCGCCAAATAAAACAATTTTTTGAAGAAGTTTTGATATACTTTATTAATGTCTTAAAATCTACGGCTCATTAACGTTATTTTTAGTCTCCGAGAGTTCCTTGTATAATGGAACTTATGTACTGTTTTTTATTAATTTCTATGAAAATGCATGAATTTTTAATATTTGTAGGCTTACAAACGAGTAAAGTATTAGATTCAATTGTACATTCTTGAATGTGTTTTATATGTGACACATCAAAAGAGTTACTATTAAGTATTACAATTGGATGATAGAATACGTAAATATCTTTTTCCATAAATCCATCTCTGACGACTATATTTGTAATTACTCCCTTACAACCAGATTGTAATTCAATAAAAGAGTCATTTATTTTTAGTTTTTCTGCATAAGCCTTTGTAGTATACCTACGATGTTTATAAATTAATTTGTGGTAACTCAAATAACTACTATTGAAATTGAAGAAAAGTTTCTGTTCAGACTCATTGAGAGTATAAGGTTTTCCCACACCGATTACTACTGCAGAATCTACCCTTGCACAATTTTTTATTCGAGTTTCAAAATTGTCTGTGAATTCTATTACTCTTGTGCCAATTGGAAATAATGTAGAAAAAAAAGGTATTGATCTGTAAACAAAATAACGATTCGAAATTTGAACTGCAATTTCTGTTGGGCTTTTTTTTAAATGTAGTAGTAATCGATTTTCATTTTCAAAGCAAAATGCATTTTGTACTTGCAATGGGCCCATATTTTGAACACTCCTTGCGATGTGCAATAAAAGATGTACATTGTACGTTATATTATGTTTTCCAAACTCTTTCTCAAATTCTATAATAAATTCTACCAATAATTTATTTGCAAATTTAACATCATCATAACCAATAGAATCTCTTTGCAAAATTTCAATACCGCTGACCACTTTTGATATTATAATGAAATATTTAGGAGAGAGAATTCCTGACAAACAAGGTAAGCAATAATAAAGCAACCATGATCGCCACTCAGATGCTTTCCACAAGCTTCGTTTTTGTACAGATCTTACTGTTCTTGTAATACATTTTGGTGTTTTGATGGAAAGAAGTCGGTGATCAATTGCTGCTAACTGATTTGGAGATCCCACATAATAAGGTTCCTTAGATGAGCTTAGAATTATTTCTGTGATTTGTTTCGATACCCCAAGATAAACTGCGTGCATACTATCAGGGGACATGCCATCAGCAAGATCAAAGTATTTCAAATTCATTAGAGCGGATGGTCCTTTAACTCCAGTCACTTCTTGTATTTTTACTTTTCCTGTTCGTTCATCGCGTATACGCGTGGAAAGCATATCTTGGATGATATTTTCATGGCTGCGAAGCGGATAAAACTTCCCATTCAGCGGATATTTTCGAACACCATCTACTTGTTCACTTGGGTGATAACAGAATGTACAGCCATAATTTCCGTTAAATTGTTTCATGTTTAACAGACTACATCGACATGGCGAGTCAACGCAGCAACCAAACGGTATTATTTTGGACTTAACGATTTTGCCATTTCTGTTCCATTCAACTCCTTCAGATGATAAACTATTCATTACATTAATTAATGGTGGTAAAAATGTATTCATAGTGGGTTTTACTTCATTCACCCACAGCCCTACTAAAATAATGAAATTATCTCTTATTGCAGGTGGTAATTCATTAATTTTTAAAAATACTGGCCACACGCTTACAGGGCTCGAATCGCTAGCTTTACAACCATCTGTATTAAAAATGTACGAAAAATTTAATTTGTCATGTAATATATTGTTTGGCGCAGAAAGTCTTTTATATAGATCTCCATCTAAGACATCTTCAATATTATCCTCGGTCTTTTTACATCGGGTTTCACGATAACTTAAATGAGGTTGTATTAGAGGATTATTTAGTAATTCTTGTATCTGACTTTTAATATTCAGTGTTAAAAAGTATGGACACTTTTTTGGATCTATTTGTGTGACTTTACAAGAAACACAAGCAACCACTGTTGACAATTCGTCACGATTACCTATATATTGCTTGCAATTAGGACAGTACACATGGTAAACATACCAGTCCTTGCGCCCAGGGAAAAATTGCATAAGCTTGAATTTACTCATTTTAATTATATCTTCATCAAAAAGTTTATTTATCAAATCCATGACATCCAATAATGCTGCCCAAGTGAAAGAGTGACGAATCGCTAATAACATACACATCAAAATTATTTCTCCATTACTAGTATTTGTTTTTTTACGTATTCGTTCATTGAGAAACAATTTTTTGTTCAACATTTTTTTTTCTGACCGTATATTTTCGTAATCGCTAACGTCCACTTCTTCTCCACTATCGTATTCACTCCTGATGTCTGCTTGATCAATATTCACCCAATCATTATTTTGAGCAAAGAAACTGTCATCGATTTGATCATTTTGAGCAAAAAAACTGTTATCGATTTGATCATTTTGAGCAAAAAAATTGTTATCAACTTGATTCAAGTTATTGTGAAACTCTGCGTTTCCCACTTCTTTCACTTCGTCGGCTTGTTCAAGTTCATTTTCTTCGAAAAGTGCATTGTCTAGTGCATTCAAATTGTTCAAACTTGAATCCCCAGAATTTTCAAATTCATCGTCACTTGTGTCACCACAGACAGCCTGGAAGAAATGAATATTTGAATGTAGATTTTTTTTAAAATAACGTAAATATAAAAAAAAAAACGCTGCCAAGTCATTGGCAAAGTGCTTCCTCATTCTCTTTTAATTATATTATAATAAATATTAACCTAAAACTTAATACTAATAAATTTAAAAATCTATACAAAACTTTCAAAAGAAAAAATAGAATTTTACTTGGTCTTCAATTTTNTTGATTTTACTAGATTTTATTGAAGTGTTTTAATTCTTATTTATTGAGATTTACAATTATTTGTGGCGATTAAAGAAATATTTTGCCAGGGTTGCGTAACATTAGCACCATTATTCAAAAGAATTTTTAATGCATCCAATTGGAAATCAGCTATTCCCCCAAAATTAGTTTTATGAAACAGGTTGAACATTGGGCTGTTACCTTGTTTGTCTGTACGATTAACATCTGATTTGTGTTCAATGAGAAGTTGAAGTATTTTTAGATCAGGATCATAACTAGAACTTCCATTAAGTTGATAACATAACAAATTAATAGGAGTTCTTCCAAATGAATCAACAGCATTTACATCAGCTTCATTGTTGAGAAGTAATTCAACTACGACATCAACAGTTGTTTTTAGTTTTTTTTGGTTTTTTATTTTTGGTTTTTTTTCGTTCTTATTGGAATTAATGATGTGATGCAATATTGAATCTCCAGCATTATTAATATATCTAACATTAGCACCATTTTTTAAAAAAAGTTGTAATGCATTCAACTGGAAAGTACTTATCCAGCTTTTATCAAACAGATTGAAAATTGGACTATTACCATTTGAATCGTTTTTATTGATGTCGGATTTATGTTCGATGAGAAGTTGAGATATTCTCGAATATGAATTATAATGACTATTTCTGAGATAACGGCATAACAAATTTATAGGAGTTCTACCAAATGAATCAACAGCATTTACATCAGCTCCATTACGAAGAAGCAATTCATATATTTTAATAACATATTTTTCTTTTTCATAGTTTAATTTTATCAAATGATGAAGTATGGTATCACCAGCACTGTTGATATGTGTAATATTAGCTCCATTTTGTAGAAGAATTTTTAATGCATTCCATTGGAGAATATTACCACAGCATTCCCCAAACAGGTTGAATATTGGGCTGTTACCATCTTTATCCTTTCTGTTAACATCAGAGTTGTATTTGATGAGAACTTTAAATAATTTTAAATTAGAATCATATTTAGAATCTCTGCCAAGTTTAGAACATAAAAAATTGATAGGAGTTCTACCCAATGTATCAACAGCTGTATTTATATTTACACCGTTGCTAAGAATTAATTCAACTGTATTAATAGCAGCAAATTCATCGCCATGATCTATAATATTGCTTAGCTGGGAACATAACAAGTTGATAGGAGTTATACCCAATCCATCAACTGTATTTATATTTGCTCCGTTGCTAAGAAGTAATTTAATTGTATAAATCGCAAATTCATGACCACGATCTGTAATATTGCTTAGCTGGGAACATATCAAATGTAAAGGTGTCATTCCCCGTTTATCAGTAGCATTCACATGAGCTCCGTATTTTAGAAACAATTCAACTAACTCAAAAATATCTCTTTCCTTTCTGTTTTTACAACCAAATATATAATGCATTATTGAATCACCAAATTTGTTGACATGCGTAACATCTGCACCATTTTGTAAAAGAATTTCTAACGTTTTTTTTTTATTATCAATACAGAGATCTCTGTCCAACAAGTAGAACATGGGACTATTACCATTCTCATCAGTTTTATTGACGTCAGATTTGGCTTTGATGAGAAGTCGAAATAGTTCCAAATTAGTTTCATATTCAGTACCATCGCTGAATTGACTAAATATTAAATGCAGAGGCGTTCTGCCTCTTTTATCGACAACATTTGCATTAGCTCCACTCTTCAATAACAATTTAATTACTTCTAAATGTTTACGTTCAATAGCTTCAAGAAGAGGTTTTCCTGTATTGACTTTGACGCCTGAATTTATGAAATTTTGTACTCTTTGAACGTTGTTAGTCATACAAGCTACTCGGAAATGTGAAAATGTTAACATGTTCTTCATAATCTTGTAGTTTACATTTCCATAAACATGGAAAAGTAAATCAAAAAATTCTGTATACTTATAATTAGCCGCAATATGTATGGCAGTTTTAGTATTTAATGGAAGTGAAACTTTTATTTCAGCTTTTACAAAGTACCTGATTATGTTGATTATACGTTTTTTCACTGCACAGATGAGGATCTGGTTTTTGTTTTTTTCGGTGACATTGCTCAATTTTTCTTTAAAAAATGAGGTTGTAGACTCCGTCAAATCTTGATCAGTCTTCGACTTTGCTTCTAATTCAGAGTAGAGGACTTCGATATTTTCCATTCTGTGATTTTCGTTCACTTTTTACGTTACGATTTTATAACTTCGCATATCGTTCTGGTGCACAGAGGTGAAGAAATGGCAAACTGTAATATAATGCGTCACTCGATAAGTATGAGGATAGGGATTCCCCGTGTCTAAGTTAACCAGAAACTTATGTATTTACCTACTCGCTGTGGAGATAGTTGAAACTGCAGTAGTCAGGTGAAGCTAAGATGACCGACTAAAAAGTCGGCGAGTTTCAGTACGGCGATTATTGGTGAACGAACAGTGTTCCTCGAGACATGCAACTGCATTAACCTACAGATTAGGACTAAAGAAAGAAATGAGTATTTTTATCAATCGTAGGCGCGGCTCGCCTCCCGAGAAAGCATAGCGGCGTTCACAGTCTCGGTCATCAGTCATTAGTCATTGAGTCATTGATAATATGTTTATAAATTTTCAAAAATTCATAACACGATCGAACTTTACATCGAAATTCTGCTGTTCTTGTTTCCCACGAAAATAGTTTTAATTACTTTTGAATATATAAATTTTATCTTCGAAAATTCAGCCTGGTATATGAAACTGCAAACGCAGTAAATAATAATGAAGAAGAACTTGATCGTCAATGCGCTATGCATGAGCTAATTATTGCAGAAAAATACTCGGATCTCATTGATCGATTTGAAAACATAACGTCAAAAACAAAAATTTTAATTTTAACATTTTATTTTCATTTTTTTTAATTCACAGGATAATACAGGATTTAACATAGGTGCATGTCCCCGTAATTAAAGTCACATAAATTTTTTTTTAAAAAATTATCAATGAAAATGTTTCATACTTGCATATCTTTTTCACAAAAAAATTGATATGTTAAAAATGTTGTGTACTTCAGAAAGAGAGTGCTTGTATACTAGAAATAGAATAGATTGTGAGTGAGTTTAACATAGGTATTTAAAAACATTTGAACGATCGGTAAGTTACTTGAAGGCTTTGTATGATTTTTATTTAATTTTTCACGCTTATCAATTTTGCGACTGATTTTTTGTTACTAGCAAAAAATTGCTCCAATACTCAGAAAGTTGACGTAGTCGTACAATATGAGTGAGCACATTTTTAAAGAATTATAAAAAACGAAGTCATCAGCCTCGACGATCGTTTTCACAAGTATTCGTTCATTTGAGCGCATTTTTCATCGTTTTGGGAGTTTTCATTAAATCATTTAGAAAAGAATTTCATCAACGGTAAAATATCCCGTTGAACTGATTTAACTTGGTATGATTCGTAAATTATTTGAACTTCGATTCGCTGATCTACTCTCTTTATAATATTTTACTCTTCGATCAATTTTACACGAGTGTAAAAATTATTTACACTCGATAATAAATTTTACACGAGTGTAAGAGTTATGTACACTTGATAATAAATTTTACACAAATGTAAAAACTATTTACACTCGTGTAAAACTTATTCGTGTATAATTTAGCTGTGTGTAAATAAATTTCAAATGTGTGAGTCTTGGCTGTGCAACTTTGACCAAGTCTAAAAATGTTCTGTAAGTTTGAATTCTGTACAAAATAGCCGATCCCTATTTTAGGGATATTCATCCCAACGCCGCTCACTGTGTCGATTACAGGTAATTTCATTTCTAATAGCGAAAATAATTTATTGCAACAACATGAGGTCAAATGCGTACCGCCGTGACCTTGCGTCCGCGCTGTAAAATTCAAATGCCTTGATAAAATACACAGAATCATGATGTGGTAGTCGCGATGCAGTTTGCGGAAATCGCGCGCTACGCCAAACGTCGCCGCTGCTCAGTGCGCTTGTTTCGTTTCGTTTTGTTGCATTAAACTGCAGACCGTCATTGCGGCGAAGCTTGACATCGCGCATCGCAACACGGCGCAGGCTGTACAGTATATGCGCCTCGTATTACTCGCAGCTGCAGCAGCAGCTAGAGCAGAACGCGCACGAGTTGACATTATAAAGCTGACACAAGTGGTGTGCGAGCAGCAGTGCGGTCAGTGTGCAGGTGTGTCGCGTATACATATATACTGCCCTCGATCGCGGGCCAATTGATAATAATTATCGCTGTAAGGATAAAAGAGAGAGAGAGGGAGAAAAATAATTAATAATAATAATATACAACGAATCGCGTTGTAGCGGGTGGCAGTCACGGGCGCGCAGTCGACGCACAGTACAACAACACACACGCAGCGCCGACAAAGTGCAGCAGCAGCAGCAGCATTCGAGCAGCGGATAATACATTACAAAAGGAAGCCGCGCGCCGTCGATCATATGTGCATGAGGTGTCGTCAGCGGGCGTCGCGCCGTTGCGAGGAACAAGACGACGAAGAGGAAGAAGGAGAAGAAGTCGAGCGCGTCGCAGGCAGTCGATAAGAAGAGTGACGAGTTCGCGAGGGCCGAAATATGGTGACGATCGACGACATCAAAAGGACGTACCCGCTGCACTGGCTCGTCTGGAACAATGAGCGGGCGCAGCTCGACGAGAAGCTCAAGTCTGCCGAGGTAACGGTAACCGCGATCTTGTGTGTGTGTGTCGTACACACTTTTAGGCTCGACTCGATTGTTGCTAACCAACAAATTTAACGAGAAACGAGCTAAAGCTCTTGGGCCAGTGATCGAGGGCGAGATCCTATGCTTTCTAGGTTATATATGCCTTCTGCTGCATTGTCATTTACACACAGGCCAGTTTACGTGCGCTACTTCTATCGATCTATTTAGCGTGGGCTTCGTGGATACTTTTTTTGATTGATCGCCTGTAACGCTATCCATCGAGGGCTTTTTTTTTCTCTTTACCATGAAAGCGACGCGCTCGGTGTATACATTACATACGCCATAATAACACACAATGACATGTCGCCGCCTCGTTGACATTTGGTCTGCTAGAGCTTTCGACGTACGCGCGGATACGTCAATTCCGAAGCTGTCGTCGGCCACGAAACGAACTCGCGCCTGGAACGGAGCGCGGCGAGGTTTTTCGATTTTTGTGTTTTTTTTCGTACAAAGGCGCGCGCGAAGTTTTTGCAATTAATTCTCGATCGTTGCACGTGTAGCTTTTGCCCGTAGCAATGTAGTTTTCGCGAAGCCTTGCTGACGAAAGAAGCCGGACAAGCTCACTTCCTCGTTGATATTACGATGCATATAGCTTTTATTTGTCAGATCTTTTTACTTTTGCTTATGCTCATAATGTATATTTCTTATTTTGTAATAGTTATTGCATTATGCAACGAGAGCTTGCACAATTGAGAGAAGCCTATAAGTTTTTATTCTGCAATGCTAACTATAGATATGTTTTACAGTACGATATTGAGCAACTCGACAATAGAGGAAGAACACCTTTGATGTTGGCCGTCACACTGGGATACGTAGAGTGTGCTAGCGTTTTGTTGGAACACGAAGCTAACGTCAATGCAGAAAATAAACAAGGATGGAGTGGTAATTTCTTTTTATTAAATACTAGTACAAAGTCACAGTGAGACAATAATAACACGTTTATCTTTTTGTTTAGTCCTAAAAGAAGCTCTGGCTACTGGAAATCCTGAATTGGTACAATTAATTCTTGCAAGAAGAGATTATCAGCGATATTGCAATAGGATAGCTTTTATTCCTGAGCTACTTTTGAAACTCAAACAAGCACCAGATTTTTATGTAGAAATGAAATGGGAGTTCACCAGTTGGGGTAAGTTTTGTTCTATTTTGAATATTAAATGAATTTGATTGTGACAAAAAAATATAATTATTTTTTATTATACCTCTATTTTAGTTCCTTTAGCTTCACGCATGTGTCCAAGTGATACCTACAAAGTATACAAACAAGGAAGTAATGTTCGGATTGATACAACATTGCTAGGTTTCGATCATTTTAATTGGCAAAGAGAAAACCGTAGTTATGTCTTCAAAGGTCAAAGTAAGATATAGATTTGATTTAATAAATCTTTTTAATTATTAATTGACATCAAACCGGAAAATTATTAACTAAATACATGTACATATTATGAAAAAAGTTTACTGGTACTTTTAAGCAAAGTGTACATAAACTTGTTAATGATTTTTCAAAAAAATCTAATAAGAAAATGCTTAAATAAGTGGCAAAGAAACCATTTGAAAAATCATTAGCTTGAAAAAGTCATAAAATAATACCACTACTAAAAGAAATTAAATTACCAATTTATTATTAGTGCAACAAACTCAATGCATACCAGTGGCTATTAGGTGTAAACGCAGTTATGTGTTCAACCTAAATTACTATGCAGGTGAATTTTAATCAATAAAGTAGGTTGATATCAATTCTAAAGAAAAAGGAACAAAATCAGTTAAAGTAATTTTAGAATATAGTAGTGGCTAAGCATTTGTAATTATTCTATTACAATGGAATTGATAGAATTAAGTTGCTATTTGAGTTGCTCAGTGCAATAAATATGCTCATGATCAATTTAATTTATCCTAAAAAATGTGTTTTCAGACGATGGTGCTACAATGATGGAGGTGGATCATGAAACAAAAAAAGTATTTGTTGAACAAATGAAACTTATTGGTAATGAAAATGTACAGATAATGGAGCCTACAGAAGAAGATATTGTTAATCGTTTAACTAATCCTATTGTAACTACATACATAGATATGGACAAAATAAGTTTTGAAAGGTATATGCAGTTAAAATTGTTTGAGTATTTGAAACGTATTTCTGACGAAATAATTGTTATTTAAAAAACCAATGATTTTATTTTTGTATTCTCTTAGAAATAAGGCTGGTTTATGGGGTTGGAGATCAGATAAAAGTGAAATTGTAAATGGTCATGAATGTAAAGTATTTAGTGCAAGCAATGTAGAACTTATCACAAAATCAAGAACCGAACATTTGACTGAGGAAGATAAAATAAGAGCTAAATCCCCAAAAACTCCACTACAATCTTTTCTTGGAATGGCTGATGAAACGCTTGAAGAAGGAGCTACTGCCATTAGTGTAAGTTACCAAAAGATAACTGAATGAAAAAAGTAAAATTGAATACTATAAATACAATTTTAATAATTTTTACAGGAAGAAGTTGCCGATCCTAATTCTCCAAACCCTTATAATATAACTCCCGAAGAATATTTTGATTCAGACGTTGATTTAAGTAATAGAGATATCGGTAGAATAAAAGAAGTATGTACAAAAGTACAGAAATTCAAAGCTACACTATGGTTAAGTGAAGATTATCCACTAAGTCTTCAAGAACAAATAATGCCAATAATAGATTTAATGGCTATAACTAGTTCACATTTTGCTAAACTAAAAGATTTTATACAAATGCAGTTACCATCAGGATTTCCTGTTAAAATAGGTAAAAATTTTCGTTTATTTAAGTTTGCAGCATGTAATTTTCATATTTAATGAAATTATTATTTTAGAAATTCCTTTATTCCACATATTAAATGCGAGAATAACATTTGGAAATATCTTTGGATTGGACCAAGAAGTGCCACATGTTAGTCATATCGAAGAATCCAACAGATTATCATGCATTTTAGATGATGCTTGTTTTGAAGCTCCTGCTGGATATTCTAAACTTGGTAAATTCACTTATTAATTTTTTCTTAAAACTGATGGAATGTACCCACTTACTATTTAAATTTAATTATTTCATCAGGTGCAGAAGGAAGATCACAAGGATTCAGTAATGAGGAAGATCAGTTGCTACAATTTGCCATTCAACAAAGTCTTCTAGATGCGGGTAGTGAAGGAGATGAGGTACGTATTCTTTGAACATTATTATTTCATTGAGACTCAATTAATTGGGTGGTTATTTCAGGTCGATATATGGGAAGCCTTGAATGCACAAAGACCATCTCGTCCAACGACGCCTCCTTTAACTTCCAAAGAAGATTTACAGCTTCAGAGGTATTATGAAATTTCAATGTACTATTGCTCTATAATTTGGAAAAAAGCTTTCAACGTATTTTCTCGTAACTTTTATTTTTCTTTTAACTCTTGTTTTGCATGTTTTCTTTCCTGTCCCAATAAAACACAGAGAGGTGGGTACTACAAAAACACCTAGAACTACTTGTCAACACTGCACATAAACTCTTGACCCCATAACTCGCTTTCCGCTCTTATTCGATGCCTTATTTTCAAATCATTCGATTCTATGCATTTATTATCGTAATGCTGATTCATACTTGATTTTTTTTCCAATTCAATAGGGCCATTCGAGAAAGTCTCGAAATGTACCAAGAAACAGTTGGTAAATCCAAGAAAGATTACGACGCAGACGACGACGACGAGGACGCGGAAGAGCTCTCGGAGCAGGAGCTTCGCGAGTACACGGTGCGCTCGGAGCAGTGGCTGCGTCAACTCAACGGCAACGACGAGAACGCGGCTCAGCTCGTTCAGGGCTGCACGGCGCGAGAGCAGCAGAGGATAGCTCACGAGCTGTCCCTGCGACAGTACCGGGAAGAGGAGCAGCGTCGCCAGCTCGAGGAAGAGACCTTCAGGCGAGTTCTTGAACTCTCGCTGACCGACAAATGAGACTGTCTCATTGGGAAGGACGTGTACAACGATTCCGATTATACATAAAAAAAAAAAGTTTAATCTTCCAGCTGTGCGCGGACGGACAGAATTTAGTTTTTCATGAACTCTAAAACGATAAGAAGAACATGTCAAAACATGCATAATATTATGCAAAAGATATTTGTTATAAAATTTACAAGTATATTGAGTGGTTAGAGAGAATGATAATGAAAGAAATTAGCTATGCTAATGGACAATTTAACTTATGTTATTTATTATGTAGCTACCTTTTTATATAAATTATATATTCAGTTTGAATGCAAGCGTGAATCTTAAAATCTTCACTATTTATACAAATTCATCGTATTGCCGGCAATTATCTCTCAAAAACAAAGCTTACGCCATGCAAATTAATTATAATACTTATATTTTATTGCTATGAATGTCACTAAAACTATTCCTTATGTATTCTTCAAGTATTCTTGTACATATATTTTTACAGTGAGAATATATAATTCTAAAGGCTATATATTAAATTGATTATTTTTTATACTATATAGATAGATATCATTTATTTTAAAAAATTAATTTAAAAATTATTCTTTGTTTTATGAGACACTGGCTTCAAACTCAGCAAGCGCTCTGAAATATAAAATTATTCACAATTATTATGCATCTTCCAGAAAATTTTGATTTTCTAGATTTAATAAACTAGACCTTTTGAAAATAATATCTAAGACTGCTGAACTTTCTCTGTATCTTTTTTCATTTTCAAATGCTTGTTTTACAAATGATTTCTTCACTCTACGCCAATGATCAGTATGTTCACTCATTAGGACTTCCTTAGTCTTTAAAGTTTTATTTTCCTGAAAATAAATATTTTATGAATTATAGTTAAAAAGTTAAAGACAACAGTTACATTAACATTGGATACATACATAATCTAGATCCAGGACATCTTTTATTCCTCGTACAGGAAAAGGGATTTTACACATTGGATAGCCTTCATAGTTTGGCGCAGGTGGTGGCAAATACATAACATCTCTGATTTCATTACTACCTTCTTTGTAGATGTTTGTAGAATCAATTATTTCTCTTTCTACATCTGGACTTGGACTCCTAGCTCTAAGAGAAATATATCCATAAGTACTTTTTTATATTTAAGATTAATATTATTAATGAAATGAAAGCTTACTTAGGAGCGAAATTGGGATTTCTAGGTTGATTGGCCATCCAAGCTCTGCAAATTGGATAAAGAGGAGTATCTTCTTCAAACTGTGCAAGATCTACACTCCTGTCAAATAATTTCATGACATAAGTATGGTGGAATGCTGATTCCAGGAATGTTGGTCTGCGCCTCTTCATAGGTGTTCTTCTGTGTGGCAAGCCACAATTAAGTATTTTAGGTTTCGATGGGGTATGACTGAAAATTGAAAAAAAATATTTAGCATCAAAAGATCTAAATAAAATTGGTATAATGAGCAGCATTTAAAAATGAAAAATCAAAATATTACATTTTCTTGGGCGTTGCTTTGAACTCCGGCATAGGTGTATCATCTGAAGAATCTGCCGATGAATTGTGTTCATCGCTGTGATGCAGCAGTTCTCTTAAAGCGCCCTTGAACCGATCCCGCGCCATGCCGATTGTGGAATCTCCGACTGGAATGACAAAAAAAAAACAATAATTATCGTTCTTAATACTCCTTGTTAGCGAATCCATCACACGGAAATTTGAAAAGTCGGGGTTCGTTAATGTCGACTCTTACCTATTTCGTTTTTGATGTCAACCAATTTGAAGTCATCCGCAGCAGAAGACGGGGCTGGTCGTTTTTTACCCATTGTTATGTTATTAGGTATTTTTACAAGCGTGGAAACAAACGAAAATTGATAAAAACAAACGCTTCGCTTCAGGAGGTTAAGCTTTGGCTTTACTAATCCGTCAACACAAATACAATTTGAACAGTGTGTAACGCAGACGCTTCACGCCAGCATAGTCGCATCCAGATGGCAGCAGTATCGCGCGAAAACATGCTCGACGCCAACTGACAGTGACTTTGAGACAATTCAAATCGCAATCGAGTGAATCCTATACACCTATATCGTAAACGCTTTGTACCCTCGCTCGGCTATAGTCGACATAGAAATTGACCTTCGTGCACTTCGAGCCAGTGAAGTAAAAAAAAAAAAGTCAATACCCTGGCAGTGCACGATGATTCTATAGCACAGTTAGTGTACATGTTGACGTACACTCCACTCTACACTTGGCCGCATGTCCTATTGACGTTTGAACGTAAATAGCTTGAAAGTGCATCTACTGCTTTTTGAAGTTATTGCAGAGTGTCAGGATTGAAAAAGATTGCATGGCTGTAAGTCGATTTGTACTTGGCAAATATAATTGCCCACGATACTTGAAATATTGATAATCTTATTACATTTCAGGTCAGAGATATAAATAATAGGGCTATTAAAAAAAGCACAAACTTCAGAGTTATTGAACGGTGTTTGAAGCCACGGTTTTGTTGACTGTAACATATAAGTACAAGTGTAGTATTTAGTGTTTCTTTGAAGTGAGTTGTGTCATATGAGATGTAATTTATCAATAATAAATCAAGTGTATCGATAAGTTTCATCTTTTCAGACTTTGCAAGAAAGAAACAGAGTCAGATGTGCACGTCAATCAAATTTTGACTATATGTGAGTGGATTTTTTCAATGAGTATTGTTAATCCTATAGCTATTAATTATGCTTAATGCATTTCAAAAACTCTATAAATCATTAACAATTAATTTTTAAGAATCCATGGTTTTACAATCCTCATTGCACCCCAAAGATATGCGTGTTTACATTGTGTCATTCTTTCTAATACTGTCTTATTTCAATTTATCAATGAATACTCCACATTCTGGGCTCAAAGTTTCATCAATTTCACAGTAAATAAATGTAATTCTAGCCTTGAAGTATTTCTGTACCAGTATTTTCCCAACAAATAAATAAGCAAAAATTTCATTTGTTTTAAAGAATGCGTCGATTCAATATGTTAGAGAGTTACTTATCAAAGTTATGTCTCTCATCAATGCTGTTATTATTATTTGGTGATAAACAATTTCAGTTTCACAGTGTCTGTCAGAAACTTTAACAAACAATCTAAAAGTCAAAAATGTAGCATACATACTTTCTTTTGATTAAGGGAAAAATACAAATTTCTTGGATTTCTATGTCTGATTCATTTGCTTCTCATCAACAAGGCTGATATTACATGCCGGACAGAAATATTGAGAAACCTATTCTGTATGCATTATTAAATTTACTCAGCTCAGTGAAGGGCCTGCCGACACGTGTATACTGACGCAAAGTCGCTGACCAGTTGATCAGGCATACATACACAAAACTTTGTGATCTCTGAAACTTTTCAATTCGATTATATGACGTTTTTGCGACTCGATCATTCGTAATCCGTGAGACAACATTTCGAGAATTTTATTCAACTCGAAGTAGGTGTGATGATGATTTATTTATGAAATCATACTTTAAAAATAAACTAAAACCAACAATAACACTCGATATAAGGATGCGAGGATTGCTTTGTATTTTCCGCTTCTTTAAAATCTTTTCAAGCTTTTTCAAGCTCCTACACGAACGTCTTTTCTGTATTCGTTGCGTCGAATGTAATTTTTCAACGCAACGAATTACAAATTATTCGACCGACATTACGCGGCCTTAAAATTATCCATGACGCAGTGACCTGCCAAATATAGAAGTTTTTATTATTTAAATCCAGAGATTACACTGTACCCGATCTGTGGCGAATGTCGTGTATCGGAGCACAGAACACGCAGAATAAATCCACGATGCGATCATTGTTTTGGCTTTCGTCGAATTTTCAATCGTCATCTGCAGTCGAGTAAAGGAGTTTCGATCGTTCGCATCATAAATACACATAAATTCGCGTGAATTTATTCATCTTTCGAATTTGTCGAGCGTAAGTATATCCCTCTTATCCTCCCCCCTCGACGACGGCCTGCACAGCCATCATCGTTAATTTAACGGTCAATTTTTTGATACTACATAATATAATACGCACGCATGGCTGAGTCTAGCAAGGGGGAGCCCGCGTAGACATATAATATGTGATGGACGTTGTACACGCACGTGATATACACACATGTATATACAACCGGAGGGATAGCGAGCGAGAAATATAATTTGTCAAGGAAGGACGCATGCGGACATGGTTTATACCCGCGCCGCGTCCTTACGATACCTATATTATATCGTCTCTAACGAAGGCCTGTATATGCGCACGTAGAAAAATTCATCATTAGGTATATTATATTCCGACGTTATTACATACGAGCGTACTATACGTCGACGATCGAGCCATCGTAAGGTTGAATCGTGATTTTACGGGGGAAGCGATTTTTTGATTGAAAATAAAAATCGGCACTCGTGATCAAGCTTTGTTTTGAAGCCGATTCGTTATTTTTTTTTTTTTAATATAAAGCGACTTTGCATCAACGTATGCATCGCGCACATGCTCATATAGACACTCGCACGTTGCGGAACCCTATGGAACGCGTTAATGTATGTAAAACGTTTCCGCGTAAACGCGTAGGCCGATCCCCCTCGTTGCCTCATATATACGTGCGTACATACGTGTGCATTGCTGGAGATAGGATTTTATCGGCTCGTAGGCTCTGCAACACGTCTATACGTATACACTTATAAAAATATGGTTTATGTTTTATATGTATATAATGAAAAAAAAAAAAAAGGAAGGCAACTCGCGCGAGTCGCGGACAAAAAAGGAGATATATATATTTTCAACGAACGGGAGATTTCTCGCTCGCTCGTAAGGCACGAGGTGGTCGCGTTTTTTTCTATACATGCAATAATATAACGTAACTTTTTATTTTATTTCATTCGCGAGGACGGACTTGAACGCGCGTATATAGAAACTCGCGTGCGGCAGTGCAGTTGTCGCGCTGTTCGTTTACCAAGTGCGTGTGGTTAATAGTTCTCTGCTTCGCTCGTGCACACAGTACACGCACCGTCTCTACCTATCTCTCTCTCCGTCGATTTTTGCGCGCGCGCACACACATGTCGCGCCGCGTGGAGCCCTTCGTGACGACCGGTTCAGTCGTGTTTCGACGTCGACGGTAAAACATTTGTTTTTTTTTTTTTTTTATGTTCGGATGAAAAAAAATGAACGACAATTCAACGACCGATTTATCGTCTATTTTTTTTTTTTGCAGCTGGCATAAACCAATGTTCTCAGGATAGCCAGTGATCCGTCCATCTTTCAGCCAAGATGTTCGCGCAAGTCCGACTGATGATATCGGGCCGCTTTCAGAAGTTCTACGAGAAGCTGCTGCTCGACGACGATCCTGGGCATCGGGTGAGGTCGGCCCTGGAGTCCCTCGAGGACATCCTGCCGCTGGACGAGGTGGCTTGCGACACCAAGAACGCCGCGCTCTCGGCGAGTCTGCGTCGCGAGGGCGACGAGCTCTTCCTCGCGGAGCGCGCGAGCCTCGTGGGTCTGCTGCAGGCCTGGGAGTACTACTGCAAGGCGGTGGCCTTGGCCCCCTGCACGGACCAAGACGCCTCGCTGCCGCTCGCCTACGCCAACCGATCGGCCTGCCTGTTCCATCTCAAAAGGTACGCCGAGTGCGCGGCGGACTGCGACAAGGCCCTCCGCGAGCTCAGCTATCCGGACTCGATGCGGCCGAATCTGCTGAGGCGCAAGGCCAAGTGCCTGAAGATCTTGGACCAGACAACGTCGGCTGCAGCTGCTGCATCGTCGTTACCCGGCATGACGGCCAATCGCAAGATACCCTGCGCCTCCGAGGCCGTGGAGATACGCTACAACAAGCGGTACGGCCGTCACGTGGTGGCGAGTCGCGACATCGAGATCGGCGAGGTGCTGGCGCTCGAGCCGCCCTACGCCCTGCAGCTCGGCACCGCCTGCCTCTACACGCACTGCTCGCACTGTCTGGCACGGGCCTGGGCCAGCTGGCCCTGTCCAGGCTGCGCCTTCGCCGTCTACTGCTCCGCAGGCTGCCGCGACGAGGCCTGGCACGCCTATCACGACGTCGAGTGTGCCGTGCGCGGCTACCTGCTGAAGCTCAACGTCAACGACATCGCCCCGTTCAGCCTGAAGGTGGCGATTCTGGCGATAAGGCAGGCCGGAGGATTTCGCCAGCTCAGAGAGCAGTTGCGGAGAATCGAGGAATCCGAAGGTAACGTAATATAAATTATTAAGTTTTCATTCGTAAAATCAATTCACTTTCAAAGTCACTTACTAGTAGAAAAACAAGTTCAAACGTGTTCTAGCAAAATTTATTTCGATCAATAATTACTAATTTAAACTTTCAATTCGGACGTAAGATAAATGATTAATTTTTTTTTTCTTTGCAGATCCGTTGAAGAAGAGTTTTACCGATGGACTGTATCGCAGTGACTTGTATCGGACTTTTTACCATCTCGAGAGCCACGAGGACAAAATATTATTGAAGGAACTCATTACGATTTTGTTGAATACGGCGTTAATTTTGTACTACGTATCGACGAAAACCTCGTTTATAGAGGATCTGACGAATGAAAGCTCGCGAGATTTGTGCTCCAGCGACGATGCTTTATTAATGGGTAAACTTATAGCGCACCATTTTATGGTTATCCAAATGAACGATCAAGAGGTATGTACGATAAATCGCACGTTATGACAAATCTTAACAGATCAGTAATGAGTACTCTTTATTCGTAGCTTTTTGAAATAACTCTCAGAGGGCAAAACCACAGCCTCGGAGCGGCAGTTTTTCCTTTCTGCAGTCTTTTCAATCACAGCTGTTTTCCAAACGCCACTAGAATACCAATTGTAGGCGACGATAAAAAAATGCATCAGTTGATGATAGCTCAACATCCCATCAAAAAAGGCTCTCAAGTACGTTACTTTGATTCAATTCGATTCAAGCAATGATAATGATCGAACTAAACATTTTTGAAATTTAGATTTTCGATGATTATGGATTCGACTTTATAGCCGGTACAGTAGCTCACAGAAAGAACCTGTGCAAGAAATATTTCTTTACCTGCGAATGTGAACCATGCTTAGACTACTGGCCCGAGTTCAAATATTTACCAACAATATTCGTAAGTACAAAAATATTACCCCCGGATACGAATATTAATTTGCGCATTACATTTTTCATCTACTCGAAACTCAAAACATTTTTACATGTTATTTCAACAGACCATGCCAACTTTTCAATCTACGAGTAAAGAAAAAAGATTGGAATTGAAAAAAGCTTTGAATAATTTTGCATCGTACGAAAAGATAATCATTCAAGCTGATATAAAAAAATTGACAGAAAATAAGAAGCTCTTAACGACTCTAGCAAAATCATTGACAACCATATTCGAGAATTCGCCGAAGATAACGAAGGAGACTTTTCGCTCGGTGGTGTTGTACAAGCAAGCATTTTTACTAATTCATGGTAATAGATTTAATGTGTGAAAGTAGCAAAATTCGAATGTATTTTAAAAATACATATCGTAGGAATTCTGGTACTTTTGTAAAAAGTATTTTCTATTGTGATCGTTAAATCGCTATCGAAAAATTCATTTAAAATAGATATAGAAAATATTAATCTTAAAACTCAATTAGTTTTTCAATACATTTGTTACAATGAAAAAGGTGTATAACTCAAATCGTATCATGTAAAACTGCGCTTCGTCAGTATTTTATGTAAGTCGCGATAATTATAATTGTAAATTGTCATTAGATGTAATGAAAAACATTTATTTTCTTTAATTTCGTTGGTGCTTGACCAAATTGTAACTTGATCCGATTCACGTTTCAAGCATATAAAGTTGAAACGATTGTTGTACGTTCGATTGGCAGGACCAGTAGAGTCGAATAATACTCGAGAACCGAGCTTGCATTTTAGGTTTATACAAATGAATTCAACGCTTCGACTGATTAAAATTAATACACTGTAATGGAAAAAATACTAAATGTTATGAAATGTTGTTTATTTTTATAAGTATCCTCGTCGATACCACAGGTCGTCATGCTTGTTCTAAACGGGTGACTTAATATTTATGTGATTCATGAAGTAGGTAATGCATGGATAAAAATGAACTGCTACGACCACACGAAAGTATAATAATATCCGATCGACGATGAATAATTGAATCTCATTATTTCACAGTAGATAAATCGCATTACAAGCGCACTCGAGAATGTCACGATCATGCGCGCGTGATAAATGTGTCCAAAGCGAAATACTCTTGCGTCGTAAACATTTTCATTATAGTTTTATTGCATCGTCAGAAAAAAATCAATACAAATAAATACATTTTTGCATACTTATTAAAAAAAAAAAAAAAAGCGCAATCGTCGTTACTATTTTTTTTCTCTCTCACTTCTCCGTGGTCTTGAAATTTTTCTTCAAGCCCCGCCAGCAGTCTTGGTACTTGGGATCGAGCTTCTGGCAGCCGCGCAGGGCCCACTCGGTCACGGCCAGGCCGTAGTACGTCTCGAACATGAAGGCCTGGGTGCCGTCGGCGACGCGCTCCGGGCGCAGCTCGGCGCTGCTGGCGGCCTCGTAGCAGGCCGCGTCCGGGCCGTGGGGCGTCATCATCGAGTGCAGACTCGCGCCGCCCGGCTGAAAGCCCTCGCGGTCCTTGGCCTCGTAGCTGCCCCTGATCAGGCCCATGAACTCGCTCATGCAGTTCCCTGTGTGTCGCGAGGGACGAGATATAGCGATCGAAGTTGAGTCGAGGTAAAAAAATCGCTCGATTATTATTTATTTATTTATTTTTTTTTTTTTAGGAACTCACTGTGATAGTAGGGCGGTCTGAAGGTGTGCTCCTGCACCGACCAACGCGGCGGGAATATCACGAAATCGGCGATGGCCGTGCCGGGCTTGTCCGACGGGCAGGTGAGTACCGTAAAAATCGATGGATCCTATATACAAGCATATATATATTTTGTAAAATTCAATCGTTCGACTATTCTATGTCTATTCGCTTACGCAATGATCGAACGACACCGAGTTGATGACCATGAACCGCTCGAGATTGTACTTGTAGGGCACGTAATTGCCGTGCCAAGCCACCACGTCGTACGGACTGTGACGCTGCGCGGCCCGAAACAGTCTGCCCTGATACTTGTTGATTATCAGATAATCGTCGACCTCATCCTCGTCCTCGTCGTCGTAATGCGCCGTGGGCGTGAGAAAGTCGCGCGGATTGGCCAGGCCGTTGGCGCCGATGGGCCCGAGATTCGGCAGCTGGAAGTGATTGTCGTAGACCTCGAGGATGTAGCCGCGCGACGGCCCGTACACCTTGACGGAGAAGCGCATGCCACGCTGCACGACGCAGATCTCGTTCGCCTCGACGCGCATGCGGCCGAACTCCGTGGTGATGAGCAGCGGTCCCAGCTGCGGTACTGCCCCCCAGAAACACAATTTTAATACAATAATAGAGACGAATAGTTCGGTTACTATATATACCGATGAGAAAATCGCCGTCCGAGTTGTAAAGGGCCTTGCGGCGCATCGAGGCGTTGCACAGATAGACGTGCACGGCCAGGCCGGCGCGCGTGCGAGGATCCCCGGCACCGCAGATCGTGTGCAGTCCACGCACGAAGTCCACCTCGTCGGTGTCCTGGCGCGTCGGCACCTCGAACGGCTTCCATCGTAGCTGTAACGACGACGATTCGCGCGCGCGAGTTTTCTGGATTAATTGAGGAAGTGCACAGCGCGCGCACTCGCACACATATCGTATATATAAAAATAAAAAATTAACGAGGCTTGAATATGCGGCTTGGTAGGTGCAGATAAGACAGAGATAATCGCGCGCGAGCTGTCTATTTATAACATTATATATCGCGCGACGTAAGTAAGTATGTGGGCTAAGCCATTTTTCTCAAATTATGTACTTTTGAAGAGTACATTGAAAAGTGAAAATCCTGAAAGTTTTAGCCCTCTATAGGTCCAGCCCTATTGGATTATCAGGGCTTCAAAGTTGAATTTTCTTTTTCAATTCTGATTTTCTGGGGTTAATATGAAAAAATGGTTGAATCATGGTTTTTTAATGTAAGATTTAATGTAGAATTCAAATTTGTACTTAAAAATCATATTAATAAGTTGAATCCCCATAAAAATGATATTTTCCTGCAATAATTATATAACTGTACTAAAATAAATGTGTTCGTATCCTTCGATTAGGCCAATATTGTAATATGTTCATCGATATATCAAAATACAACTTCTGATAAATTTTTGTTATCGGCAAACAAACAGACTTTATTATTCAGTTAGATTTTAGTCAAGAAACATGGTTTTTCTCTAATTTTCCTTGATTATTGACTCATAATAAGCTCAATAATGAATTCTCACTTTTTTAATAATAATTTCAATAATGGATTTTCACTTTTCAATGTACTCTTCAAACGTACATAATTTGAGAAAAAAATTTTTTTTTTAACATCGCGCTGACTATGACTTAGCCCGTATGTATCATGAACGTACCTGATTCGGATTCGGCGGTGTCCTGTCCCAGTCGGCGGTCAGGTGCTCGGGCGCCGACTCGCCCGCGACGGGCTCGAACGGCCCGTGACAGACCGAGGGCCTGGCCCGATACAGCCAGCTGCGACGATTCTCGGCGCGGCCGCAGGTGAACGCCGTGCCGGAGAGCTGCTCTGCGTAGAGGCCCCGCGGACAGCGCTGGGGACTGTTCTGGCCCAGGGGCAGCGAGCCCGGCCAGCGCTCGTCCTCGCTGCTGAACTCGTTGCCGAAGCCCGACAGGTACTGCCATTAAAGATCGGTATATAACAATCGAGTATGTGATACTTATATATCTATGCCGTTAAAAATACCTTCAATTCGTCTCTCATGGCTGAGCTGCGGTGTTCTCGATGTGCCTCGCGCTACTACTGCCGCTTGCTGCCGATTCTAACGATCCGCCGGCGAGGACGGTGATTTTTAATCCGGTTTTTTCTTTAAATATATTCACGTAATTCCGATTCCGAATGCGAGAAAGAGTTGCGAGCAATAATAAAAAAAAAGGAGCGCGGAAAAAAACACTCGCGTACGTATTATAATAAAGTCTCTCGCAGTCGAGGAGTTGGCTCGTTGTTTATAACATTATCTCGCATTAGCGATATCCGAGGCGCGCACGCTGCAGCACGTGTATATACGACTCGGCAAAGGGGAATCGATCGTCATCGGCCGATCGGCCAATCGGAATCGTCGGAATCGAGGAGGCGCGACTGGTTTGTAGAAATGTGTTATTTTTTTCCTTTTTTTCAAATTATATATATACGCGTTGTTGTTGACGCCGATGCGAGAGGCACGACTCGGACGCCCGATCCTCGACACATAATTACGTAAATAAAGTCGCGCGCTCTTTTTTTCGTCGCCGTATTAATGTTGTTGTCGCGCCGAGTCGATTCGCAGGTGTGTCCGCTAATATTTTTGCTTTTTATTTTTTTTGTATACTCTCGATCGTCGCGAGGATTCGACGCGTTCTAAAGATGGAAATTTCTCGTCGAATTTGGCGAATTATTTTTGATCGCGGAGTCCTTGAATTCCAAAAATGCAGCATCGAAGATTCGATGTGTATGATTGGAATCGATCGCGCAAGATTTAAAATACGTTAGCGGTGACATTGTTATTTGATATTCATTCGACTTGTTTGACTCTTTCTTATCTACTTCAACTTTCTCATCAACTCATTTTTTAGTACATATTTAAATTGTACGTGAAATTTTAGTTAAAAAATCATGTTTTAACACTGTTTTCATATTCGCCCCGGAAAACGAAAATTCAACTTTGAGCTCACCGGTTTTATCAGATAAAAACTATTGTTATTACCTATCACGTCTCTCGTAACAGACATAATTAGTGCCCCATCGGCGAAATTTATCAAAATCTTTCACTAACGCGAGTTCGATCAATTTGGAGTAGCGGGTAATTTCTTGAGTTTTCGGGTAATTTCGTGACGTTGAAGAAGCCCCCGAGAGTTTTGACCTATACTAAGACAACTTCTCAACAGTGTACTTGGTCAAATTAAAAATACTGGTCTCATCAATCCACCACCTTTCCTCACTTTTCTACTTTGGAGCTTCCGACTCGACTGCCAGGTGGCGCAGCGCCACAAAAAATTCGCGCCTGCAATAGGAAGAGAAGAGTTTAGGACACTAATACTGATGGATTTTTCTTTCATAACTTAGGCATTGCCTTTTTTTTTGAAATAATTGATTAATTTTGGTAACCGTCATTCTAGAAAACTTTTAATCGATAAATACTCAACCACTGACATCTGAGAACTAACCTGTCGGCTACGTTATAAACTTGTCAACTCGTATAACACGATACGACGGTTGAAAAGTTTTAATGTATAAATATTATATTATTAAAAATGTATTATATTATTCAAATACATCCCAAAACTCTCTCTTTGCTCGTAAAGCAAACACATTGCACATACATGCTCTGCAGCCAGCTATCCCCCATATTATTGCACAAGTGCCCACGGAGTAATGTGTGCACTGAGAGAAGGATTTCTTAACAGTTAGTTAACATATACATGGTTTGGTTCTTCTATAAGTATCAAATTCTTACTATTAATGTACCGAAAATTTAACTAATAACATACATAATGTTACGAGATACTTATATGGTAATGAATATAATTCAATAGAAAAGAGATTGTTATCTGGAAAATAGATTTTTTATAGATTAGATCAAGACTATTTTAAAAATCTTTTATTTACGCCTTTTGAGATATTTGATGTCGAAAGTTTACTTTTGAAAATTTCCGGGGAAATAGTAGATTTTCTTACAAGGGGGAGAAATGAAACTTTCGCATGCACGTGATAATTACTTCAAGGCGAAGCCGAGGAAAATCGCTGGTTGGTTAATTTTTCCAGGTTCGTTTAGATACTTTTAGAACGAGTTAGAAATTGAGCAATTTCGCTCAAAAACGCTGTTGCACTAGACGATAGGAATTTTGAGAAATTTAGCCCCGTTTATAACATACCACTCAAATCAAATTTCAACTCAAAAATGATGTACTCAATGAAAAAAAGTTATAGATTAAAAAGGGCTTAGAATCGTCTAATAAAAATGCCTGAAAAACCTTAGTTGTTTATCTTATTCTAGAAGTATTTTAATACTTTTACAGCGTGTTAAAAATTCAATTGTTTTATCAAATTTAGTCACGTGGCTAACGTTATAGCATGTATTATAGTGCATTTACTCTCTAAGAGTACATACTTACAACGAGAATACCCCAACTCTGGATTATGAATCTGCTTCAAACTTTTTGAGGGTACTTTATACAACTAGAAAACATGCCCAGTAGGTTTGATGTAATCTCATAAGCACCTAGAAGAAGTACAACCCATATGCACTATATAATTAATATTTATACTCGTGTCAATGCAACCCTCGCTACGCTCGGACTGCAAACTGACACCCTTACAAGATAGACAACCCCCCCTAACTCAGTTACGTAATGTACTATTTTACACCTACTTACATCTTACAAACCTTTACTTGCGTACCACCACTCAAAGCTGATTGTTCGATTGCTCTTAAGGAAAAGCGCTTTAGAAGGGATGCTTTGCAGTGAAATAATCATTTCGGCACAAGTTTTATTAAAATTCTAGCAAAAGAAGTGTACAAATATTTATGCATATTTACAATTGTCAATTATCATTTTTTCTCGCGATTGTGGCATTCTTGATCTTTGCAACCTTCGTGTATTTTTCTTTGGTGGAAGAGCAAGTTGACCTTTTGTCCAAATTTCTGCTCGCATTTGTCGCATGAGTAGTCTTCCCGACCTTCATGGACTGCTTTTTGATGTTTTCTCAAATTGCTTCTAACCCCAAATTTTTTCTCGCATTTGTCACATGAGTAATCTTTCCGACTTTCATGTACCGTCGTTAGGTAGGTGAGTAAACTCGGTTTTTGTGTAAATTTCTTCTCGCATTTGTCGCATGCGAAATCTTTCTGACCTTCATGGACTATTCTTAGGTGCCTAATCAATGGCATTTTTTGTGTAAATTTCTTCTCGCACTTGTCGCATGCGTAATCTTTCTGACCTTCGTGGACTGCTCTTTGGTGACTGAGCAAATGTGATTTTTGTCCAAATTTCTTCTCGCACTTGTCGCATTGGTAATCTTTGCGACCATCGTGGACTATTCTTTGATGTCTCAACAAATCTGCTTTGTATCCAAATTTCTTCTCACACTTATCGCATGCATAATCTTTACGACCTTCATGGACTATTCTTAGGTGCCTAATCAATGGCATTTTTTGTGTAAATTTCTTCTCGCACTTGTCACATACGAAATCTTTACGACCTTCATGGATTGTCTTTTGATGCTGAACCAAAATCCATTTTCTCCCAAATTTCTTTTCGCACTTGTCACACGGGTAATCTTTGCGATCTTCGTGTATTGTCTTTTGGTGTCCAATCAATTTTGATTTTTCTCCAAACGTCTGCTCGCAATTGTTGCATGCGTAATCTTTGCGCTTTTCGTGAACTGTTTTTTGGTGTAATAGCAAATGCGCTTTTTGTCCAAATTTCTTCTCGCATTTGTCGCACGCGTAATCTCTACGACCCTCGTGTATTGTCTTTTGGTGTCTAATCAATGGCATTTTTTGTCCAAATTTCTTCTCGCACTTGTCACATACGAAATCTTTATGACCTTCGTGGACTGTCTTTTGATGCTGAACCAAAATCCATTTTCTTCCAAATTTCTTTTCGCACTTGTCACACGCGTAATCTGTGCGGCCTTCGTGTACTGTCTTTTGGTGCCGAAACAAATGTATTTTTTGTCCAAATTTTTTCTCGCATTTGTCGCACGCATAATCTTTACGACCCTCGTGTATTATCTTTTGGTGTCTAATCAATTTTGATTTTTCTCCAAATGTGTGCTCGCAATCGTTGCATGCGTAATCTTTGAGCTTTTCGTGGACTGTTCTTTGGTGTTGGAGTAAATGATGTTTATACCCAAATTTCTTTTCACACTTGTTGCACGTGAAATCTTTGCTAATTTTATGGACCAATTTTTGGTGCTGAATCAAATTTGGTGTTGACCTAAATTTCTTCTCATGCTGATCAGAAGTGATATTTTCGCATCCGTCGTGGACTGTTTTTATATGCAACAGCAAATTATGTTTACTTCCGAATCTTTTGGCGCACCTTTCACATAAATAATCTTTGAAAACTTCGTGAAATATTTTTTTATGCTTCAGTAAAATTAATTTACTTTCAAATTTCCTTTCACACTTTTTGCATGTGAAATCATCTTGATCTTTATGAACTAATTTTTGGTGCGTAAACAAACTTGATTTTTTCATAAATTTCTTCTCACACTGGTCGCATGCAAAATCTTTGCGGCTTTTGTGTACTGATATTTGGTGTCTACTCAAATGACTTCGGAACTCGAATTTCTTCTCACACTTGTCGCATGCGAAAATTTTTTGATCATGGTGAATTGTGTCTCGGTTTATTTTCTTCTCACAATTATCCATTTTTGTGCCTAAATTTAACGATGTTTCAATCTATTTAGTATCACAGAAATTGAATGAGTAAAATTTATCTCTTGGTATTTTGCCTTGTCTTATTGAAGAATACTACATTGAAACTAATTTGTTTTTACTACAAATATGATCAGTGTATCTAAATATAATATGTCAAAATCGTTTATGATGATATTGTTTACACTGAAGGTATCAATTCATCTGTTTAAACATTATGCTAACAATATTAAGAGTTTGTCGACGCATACTGTCAATGTACTCTTGGATCGTGGTGTCGATCTGACTAGCTTCGTTTTTTTCTACTTAAAGTAACTTCGATGAGGAATTGAAATCAGGGAATTATAATATTGATGTCAAATTTTGTTTAGTGTCCAGTGTTCCGATCATCGTTTAACGATTTGAAAAAATAAAACGATAAAAGCTGGAACGAAGCGACGCGCCCGAACGATCATAAAATTGTTCGTTAATTACGAATTGTTTGAGAACTCGGTGGAAAAATTTCAGTACGATGATGTTCGCGACCTGATCAGATTACGACTCAATTGTACAGTTAACATAACTTATTCAACATTTTTTAAATCTTCTTTTAAAATGATATATTCAATGATTTTATATTCCCTTTATTGACTAAACAACGACAAAAAAACTGCGGTCAATTCATAGGCAAAAAGCTTCCTCCTACTTTTATAAAATATAATGCCAATAAAACAAGCACAAACAACTTATTTGAAAAAATTATTTGGAACCATGGCCATTGGACGAGAAAAGCAATTTTTTAAAAGTGGTCTTACTTCTGTAGCAGGCTCTCCGGAGGAGCCGGCGGTCGTCGTCGTGGCAAAGCTGCGTCGCCTCGGGCACGCGTCCCGAACGTGAGGAGGTTGCTCGAGAGGAATAAGTTGGAGTCGTAGTTGAGCTTAAGGAGCTAAACTTTATTGCGTGATTGTGCGGGCCATGCCGCCGTCGGTACAAGACTGACTCTGCAGCGCACTGGGCCGTACGCGGCCGTGCGCTGCGCGCACGAACACGTAGGCAGCCGCCGACACTTCATACATTATTAATTTCAAAGTTATGCTGAAGAAAACATAACTCATCTGGTTGAAATTTTAACAAATAGTCGTGTACAGATAAGATTTATTCGAACGACAAACAATAAACCAAGTTTTAAAAATGGGAATCTTTCACTATAGCGCCGAGGTTGGAATCAAAATTTGCCAAAACCAATGAGCGAATTTTCGTCGAGTGTAAAAATGTAATACCAACACTTTACAGGAAACAATATGATGTATATTGATAAGTAGCACACAGTTCGAGGTAAGATACAGTCACATTGACTATAATTTTATTTCAGAAAGTTGCGGCATCAATTTGAACACTTGTCAAAAAAAATTATAAACGCTTTCAATTCTTTCATACATGAAATATCTAAAAGACTATTCAGCACGTATGATTGAAAAAAGGTTTGAGTTACTCGTTATAAAAATGCATTATTTGTATCATAAAAAATTTATAATTGCGTCTCCCTTGACATCATACGCAACGGCGCATGCTGGCGATTCACGAAGAAAATTGGGTGGTTCTTCACCTTCACTCGTTGCGAGTCACGAGCTTTTTTTTGACTTGGCTCCAGCTTTTTTTTTTTTTTTTTTTTGACAACGATCGTTGGTATCGACAAACTAAACAATTATAGCATCTATCGGTAAGATTGTCTTTGCGATTTTTCTTGGATTTTTTTCTTCTTCCAATCGAATTCGATGTAGGCTTAGATTTCCTTTTGATCTCGTTCGTTAATTCATCTTTGCGACATTTGTGGACTGTTTCTCGATGTCGTATCAAACCGCTTTGAATGCTAAATATCTGCTCGCACTTGTCGCATGTGTAATCTTTGCGGCCATTGTCTACTATTAATTGGTGTCCATGAACAACATTTTTTTGATCCCCGAATTTTTCTTCGTTCTTATCGCTTGCTAAATCCATGCGATCTTGTCTTTCGGAGGATCTTGTCTTATGGTAGATGATCGAATTTTTTGAATCACCTAATTTCTGCTCGCCTTTGTCGATTGCGTAATCTTTGCGACTTTTGTTTGCAGCTTCGTGAACCTTCAGGTGCAAGATCAAGCTTGATTTGTGTCCAAATTTCTTCTCGCAATGGTCACATTGGTAATGATCTTTGCGCACAAGGGTCTTTGGGTGTCTGATCGATTTCATTTCAAGTCCGAATTTCTTCTCGCAATAGTTGCTTTCAAAATCTTGGTGACTTTTGTGGACTGTCTTTTGGTGTCTGATCAATTTGCTTTGAATCCCAAATTTCTTTTCGCACTTGTCGCATGCGTGGTCTTTGCGACCTTCGTGTACTGCTCTTTGGTGACAGAGCAAATTAGATTTTATTTCAAATACCTTCTCGCATTTGTTGCATGAGTAGTCTTTGCGACCTTCGTGTACTGTTCTTTGGTGATCGAGCAAATGTGATTTATGTCCGAATTTTTTCTCGCATTTGTCACATTCAAAATCTTTGCGACCTTCGTGAACTGTCTTTTGGTGTCTAATCAATTTCGATTTTTGTCCAAATTTCTTTTCGCACTTGTCGCATGCAAAAACTTTGAGATTTTCGTGTACTGTTTTTTGGTGCTTAACCATGTCTGATTTATATCCAAATTTCTTCTCGCATCTATCACACGCGTAATCTTTGCGACCTTCGTGGATTGTTCTTTTGTGAAAAACTAAAGATGACTTTTGTCCAAACTTCTTCTCGCACTTATCACACGCGTAATCTTTCCGTCTATCGTGGACTGTTTTTTGGTGCTCAATCAAATGCGATTTTTGTCCAAATTTCTTCTCGCATTTGTCGCACGCATAATCTTTACGACCCTCGTGTATTGTCTTTTGGTGTTTTATCAAATTGTGTTTAATCCCAAATTTTTTCCCGCACTTGTCACATGCGTAATTTTTTTGACCTTCGTGGACTGTCTTTTGATGCTGAACCAAAATCCATTTTCTTCCAAATTTATTCTTGCAGTTATTGCATTCGTAATCTTTCCGACCTTCATGTACTGCCTTTTGGTGCTGCAACAAATGATGTTTATATCCAAATTTCTTCTCACACTCGTCACATGCGAAGTCTTTGCGACCCTCGTGCACCGTCCTTTGGTGAGTGAGCAAATAAATTTGCCGCGCAAATCTTTTCTCGCACTTGTTGCATGAGTAGTCTTTGTGACTTTTGTGTACTGTCTTTTGGTTTCTTATCATAGTTTCTTCCTGTGCAAATGATTCCAGAAAAATATCACGAACTACTGTCGATTTTTTTTTACTAATATTTATGTCGGTGCCTAAATTTACCAATCGATTCTTCTATTTAATGTCACGAAATATGAATAAATACAATTTATTTTCTGGTATTATGTGTTGTTTGGACGTTAAGACAAAACTCACTCTATAATTTGGTCGGTTAGAAACATGCTCTGTGTTTGAAGAGGCCCTGTCGTGACTCTTAATAATCGTGTTGTTGACAATCAAGTTTAAAATTTATTTATTTGTATATTGCCCGCACATCTTTGAACTAAGTGAAAATTCCTTGTCTAGCGATGATTGGAAATAATTTTTTAGTCTTATAAAACCAAGTACTTACAAAAAGTTCCCAGTAATATAAAAAGTACATTTTTACATTTATAACTATGTAATCATATTGATAGATTCGAAATTTTTTAAACTTATCTGCGTGATCGGTTATTAAATATTAACCATTTGTCAGGGACTTTTTTACTTTAACAAAATGGTTCAAAAATCTCTGTAAGGTTGCTTCAAAATTTTTTAAAATCTATATAGATACATTGTGACAATTCTAGAAAACTTGATGTTTTTTAGATTTTCAAACCACAAAATAGCGCGAAATACAAAAGTGAATGTTATAATCTTTTATATCAACTTAAAATTATTACGCTTAAACTTATAAATATTGAGACTACAATGCTATCACTTAATATATCTTAAATTTTACACTCTATATCATGGAAAAATTTACCAATACATTTCATTATTTTCGATTGTCAACTAGTGTCATCTGTGTCTCGCGAGCGGCCGCGCGTGTACCACGGCCAATGTAACGGCCGCGTGCAATATAGCAATCAAAGATAAAGCAGATCTCTCTCGACTTTTTGCAGACAAGATCTCTATATAACATTTATCATTGGCTTAAAATCTTTAAAAAATCAAATCAATCTTTGACTTTAGCGATCAAACTCGATCCATCCCTCCATGTATCGAGGTACTTTCAAACACGTTTATACTTTTATAAAAATAATGAATAAGCTGGGCCCGATCTCGCGTAGTCGGCTATTCGGCACGCGCTCAACGGTCAAAGAAAGAAAACAACGAGCACAAAAAAAAAGAAGAATTATCCGCAGCTGGAAGCTTCGAATTAATCGATGCATAAGATAATTGCGAAATTCGCGTAAATGACTCGCGGAAACGCGCGCAGACTCTCGCGCAGATATATAAAAGAAAGCTTCCGTTGTTGTCTACGCCCGTGCATCTGTGCGTCTGTGTGTGTGTGCGCGCGTACGAGCGTACAGTTTTTTCTCCCGCCTGTACGCGCATAGATTTTTATACCGATAAAGCGCAGGTAACAATCATCGGTACGGCGATTCGCAGAGACTCGCTATCGCGCGAGTGATTATAATGCGCGCGTATCGAAAAAAAAGGAGGAAAGATCCTGGAAAATCCGATCGAAAGCGAGCGTTACAATGCGCGCGCGCTTACGCTGGAAAGAGCTGCCGATTTTTTTTTTTTAGTTTTTAGTTTTTACTGGAGAGTCACGAAAATCGCTCTCACTTATACGATCGCGAAAGATTGCAAAAAAAAAAAAAATCGGTCATCGCGTCGCTGTCCCCCTGTATAAAAACAAAAATTTGATAATCCCATAAAAAATCCGCTCGAGGTTTATAACGCGGTGCGTGTATACACACAGCTCGAGCGAGCCTCCGTGTGCATTATCAGCGGTAAAAATCGAGATCGCAGTTTTTTTATTTTCGTGAACGTATTATACGTATGTGTGTGTGCTCGGTACCGCCGCGAGAGAAAGTGTTTTCGAGCCGTATAAATGCTCCGCGCGTTATCTTTTCACTCGCGGATTATAAGGCTCGCGCGCGGCACGCGTGGATTAATTCAATTAATTTGAATAAAAAGTGTATCGAGTAAAGCCGGAGGGGCCGCCGGCGCGAAGGAAGATTTTGGAAATGAAACGCTTTTCTGCGAGTGTAAAACAAACGTGGTTTGCTTTTTTGATTTATTTTAAAACTACAAGGAGCATATGCATTAGAATGAAAATGCAATTTTGTCACGAATCGAGTCAACGCCACTGCTTACATCACTTTAACGTCAAAATACTTTTATACATTTTTCCACTCATAAATTACATATGAGTATTATTAGTGGCTGCATTTTTCCATTCACAATTATATTAATATTTATTTGTGTCCTTCCCTTGGATTCCTATGCCGAATCGATTGATCGCTATTGTGCTGCAAATTGTTGTGTATTTGTGGATGAGCGTTAGTTACGAATACTGCGTTGAGAAATGGGAGGGACTGTGGTCGAAATGGATTAAAATTTGGAAATTGCATCGGACCTTGTGGGAGGGAAGGAAGCATATTGTTATTGATTTCAAGATTCATATTAAAATGTGTGTTGAAATTTGGAAATTGCGTGGGACCCTGTGAAATGGGTGGAAACATATTGTTATGGATATGAGGATTTATAACAGTTTGGTTATCAAAATTTGGAAATGGCGTGGGACATTGTGAGATAGGTGGTAACATATTGTTATTGATTTGAAGATTTACATTAAAATGTGTATTAAAATTTGGAAATTGCGTCGGACCTTGTGAGATGTAAGGAAACATATTGTTATTGATTTGAGGATTTTTATCAGTTTGGTTATCAACATTTTGAAATGGCATGGGACCTTGCGGAATGGAAGGAAATATATTGTTATTGTGTTGAGGATATTCATTAAAATGTGTATTAAAATTTGGAAATTGCGTGGGACCTTGCGGAATGGAAGGAAAATTGATATTATGTTGGGAATAGTTAGTAGAGTATGTACTAACATTTGAAAATTGGATGGAACCTTGTGAATTGGAAGGAAAATTGATATTGTGTTGGGAATAATTAGTAGAATATGTAATAACATTTGAAAATTGGATGAAACCTTGTGAAATGGGTGGAAACATATTGTTATTGTTTTGGGGATTATTTTCGAAATGCGTATGAAAATTTGAAGATTTCTTGGGACCCCATGAAACGGGTGAACAATTTTTAAGAATATATATGAGTTTTTGATTCGGTGGCTGTCCATTCAAGATACGACCCTGATCCTCGAGACACATGTTCTTCAATTTACTTCTAGGAGAAACAGACGGAGGAGAAGACGACTTCGTCGTCGATGAAATTTCGGTTCTCTCGTCGCTCGGATTTTTTTCTTCGGTTAATTCACGTTGATCCTCGCCCCGCCAAAAAGCTATCAATTCTTTTGCCGTACGAATATCATCGCGATCGGGAACTGGTGTCAGTCGTTGACAATCGATCTGCGACAAAGTTTTTTTTTTCTTGCAAACCAAGTGGATATAATTTCGAAATTAATTTGAACTTACGTCCTTACTGTACGCTGCGAAGGGATCGTGTGGGTCGAAAGGCTCTTTTTTACGCGGAGTCTCTTCCAAACTCATATGACGAAATGCCGCATCGAGCTGTCGCTCACTTGGGTCCGTAGGATTCCTCATTCTGTTTTCCAATTTGTTTGTAACTATTTTTAAAAATTGACGAACTACTAGAAATTATTTATTATTAAAGAGTGCATTAAAACGGAAAAACTAATGAATTAAAAAGAAAAAACTAACTAACACTGTTGTCACTGTGTCACGAAAATTAAATTGTAAACTTAAGCCTTGGGGCAGTACTTCGAGCCCTGCTTGAGACCGGACTGTCGTGTTTATGTTTTCTTCGTTTCTCTAGATCGGTAGAACTTTCACGAAATACAAACGAGCAGTGACAGCAACCCTCCCGTTGTATTCGCGCAGCTCTTAGTCGTTATAGCGCGTAAATTTAAAGTATATTTTACAAAAATAAAAAAAGCTCATATACGATTGCTCTCGATGGACTCGCAGCAATTTTACAAAAGCTCGATACAGCAACGTAACGATTTACGAGCAGAGTTATTTCGTCAGCCGATAAAACACGAAACAATAAAAAAAAATACGCATCTCGGCATCGGCGCGTCTCAATTGTATCGCGTGTCAAAGGACGATCATACCTATCCTACCTACCTGTACCGATCTCTCGGCGTATAAGATCGGATTTACAAAATACAATTGAATCTCGGCTCAGCTATTCGCACGATACACGCGTACCTATACATATACAACGATATAAAGACGATCCGTACGGATGATGATGATGATGATCCTCGCCTCGCGTGGTCTCGCACGCGCTCGCCATATTTTTTTTTCTTCTTCTTCTTCTTTCTTTTTTCCTCTATCTTGTGTGTATATAGTATACACTGCTGCTGCTGCTTGCGCTTATGCGGCTTAACGGTTCCAGGCCGGCGCGCAGCGGAAACCGTAATGTTTTCCTCCACCTCGATCTCGACGCTGCACACTGTGCGCTCTCGGAGCTCTCTCGCTGCGGCATCGAGAGCTGCATCTCTCTGTATTATATTATACTACGTTCGTATACGCGCCGTGAGGAGATTACGTCCGGCTATTCCCAATATCATATACTCGTTGTGCGGTGTGCCTATTATACGATCCCGAGAATTCCATGAAACTTGTATTCGAATGGATTTGGACGGTAGCTGTCGCACGTGTATATTTTAAAAGCCTGAAAAGCCTCGAGAGCGAGACAACGCGTCGGGCGCGATAATTGCTTTATTTATTTTTTTTTTTTTTTTTTGTGTTACACATTAGACATTAACGAGCGCATCTCGGACGTCAATCTCTCTCGCGATACGTTATTATGTAGCTCGCGACGGCGCGAATCCGTGACGCGTCTTACGAAATCTCGCGCTATACGGACAGAGAGAATCTAGGATTTTTATATCGTTCATGTATATATAATAATGTTACCGGTGAAATGACGATCGATCGAGCGAATTACGTTGTCTACGCGATGAATATTGGACGCGCGACTTTGCATTGTTATACGAATTCACTTTCGTTTTTTTTTTTTTTTTTTTTGTTAAGCGACACCGACGACGACGCACCTGTCGCGCGAAAGTAAAAATGTACGCCAATGCTGGGTGATAGTTATCGTAATTTCCAAAAAGAAAGAAAGAAAAGATTGAAAAAAATCGGTATACGCACTCGGGTCGATATTTTTATTTAATACACAACGCAAAGGATGTGTGCCATGTGCCGCGTGTAGTCCTCGTCATCGTCGTCGTCTGATAATCGTAATAAATGAGCTCAGCAAAGTCTCTTTAATAATGAACAGGTGAGTTAGAGAGAGAGATCCTCGTAGAGCAAACTAGTCCCTCTCTCTCTCTCTCTCTCTCTCTCTCTCTCTCTCTCTCTCTATACATTTTCTGCAGCAGCATGAACAGCAGCAGTCTCCGCCGCTCCGACTTTCTGCAACGCGCCGCGCGGGAGAGTAGAGTCGCGGTATATACCTGCCTGCCTGCGCGCGATATAGGCCTACGGACCGTAGCCGCGGCGTCAGTCGTTGTTAAGCGGTCGCTCGAGTTCGTTGCCGTTTCGTTGCGCGTTTTACACGCGAGAGAGTATAAAACTCGTACATCGTGTGCAGCCTATAACAAAACACACACACAACATCGTGTGTATCGTATATATTATACTGTTTCATATATAGATGTACACTCGTGGCAGGTGTCGAACGGTATAATACATCGGAGTCGCAGCAGTTCGTGGTCCAGATTGATATTTCTACTTGTGGGTGATTCTAATATATTGTATGCGATTGATAAAAAAAAAGAGTGACCGAAATAAAAGAAGAAGAAGAGAAAATTGAAGTGTCTCTTCTTGTATTTATGATGATATATAGTGCGGAGATGTGAAGATTTGATCGGTGTGCTCCGATACATAGATAGCTTATACATCCAGCGACAAACGGATCTTTTACGGCTCTCTTCGTTCCGATGGGGCAAGGACTCGACGACGACGAGCACGATTGACTTTTCGCATCATTGGAATATATATGGTAAGTGCCATCGCACGACTGTTACGATATAGTCTCGCGGGTTCACGAATCTTGTCGAAAAAACGTGAAAATGTTAAAAGGCACACAAATTTCTTGATGTATTTGTTTAATATTTCAACTCCGACAGAATAGCATAAATACGATGCAGCATACGAAAATGTTGAGCGGAAAATTTAGAAAGTTTCACTTGTTTGTGTGTATTATAGGTGTATTGCGCGTGTACAAGCGGCGTCAGTTTGATGGAGCCTTTTTATATCGTGCGCGTCTGGAGTATAATTTTTAATATCCAAACTGACATCGATATGAGCAGAAATTGGTTTACTTTTTACACTCAAAAGATTCGTCTCGTACTCCCGTGCGAAAGCTCAAAAGACCGCGGAAAGAAAGAAAATTAAAAAAAAAAGAAAAGAAACGAGAAGAAATGCAGAATCGTCCGTCTGTGCTCTCTCGCGCGGCTACTTAACTGCGGCAGCAATGAAAGTCACACACTAATCACGTACAGCACGGCCGATAATTACGATCCTCGTGCACTGCGCTTCGCTCGTGAGCAACAATATACAACATAATGCACATAATAATATAATATAATGCGATGCTGCTGCTATATAGGCCTATATAGGCAACACACGCACAAGTGCACCCGCGATGTATATAGCTGCTCTGCGCGTTTGCGCGTGTTGTACACCAAAGTCACGTCTTACCTCAGCCTCTTTTTTTTACCTTCGCCGTTTTCGTGCGCCTATTCGTCTCTCCCTCGTTTTTTGCCGCTCAATTAACAACGATATTTATATGTAATAACGCCCTGTGGCGCGCGCGTAATGCAACGCGGTATATCGCACGATATTCGAAGCACCTGTATACATATAGTTCTAAGACGAAAAGATTTAATATCGCTGCAGCGTAACAACGACGACAACGACGACGAAAAAATACGGCATCAAATTTTTCCCTCCGAGCTTTTCTCCCGCGCTCCCGCGCATGGATCGTCAACGGCATCGTGCGCTCGCGCTGCGTACATATACCGATACTTACCGATCCGTATATCAACGATATAAACACACGTACGACTCACGTATGTGATCGGGTTTTTTTAATTTTTTTTTTTTTTCCTCGAGAAGCTGGAATTTTTTTTTTCGCGAGAAAACGATCTCGGGCGTAATTATCGTCCGATGCTCGTTTAATACCGGCAAAGAAAGTTATTAGTGAGAGTTCGCGCTGCTGCTACTTCTGCTGCTCTTACGCTGCGCAGATGTATGTACGAGCTGCGTATATATATGGCTAAGACGCAATAATATACACACACACGCGTTGCAGATGAAAGTTTTGCAAGAAATAGGTGCATTTTCGCTGCACGTGCTGCTTAACTCGTATCTATATATACCGTAAGAAGTTTTTAATTACAAAAGATTCGAGTCGATTTTTCAAAAATCGAATAAATTTTTGGTGTCGCATACCGATACCAATACCGATCTTTCTCTCGTTCGCCTCGAAAAACTAGATCGATCGATGCTTTCGGCACGTAATGTATCGCGTGCATGCGTATAAACTTCGAGCAATCGAACTGCCTCCGCGTGGGGATGCGCAACGGCTTATAACGCAACGTTATACATATCTATACACAACAACAATAACAATCGCCACGAAGTAGGCCTATCCGCGCGCGAGCGTATACAGAAGCGATTGGGATTCCCCACGTGCAAAGTTGCGTGGTAAGCTCCCATCATCATCATCATCATCTTCGCGAGAGAAGAATAGGATCGACGGGAGATGTATAGACTCCCGTGTATAAGTAATCGACGGCTTGGATTCGGCCGTAGTAGTAAGAGATAGAGAGAAAGGGGGACACGGAAAATGCGCTAAAATAGATGCTTTTCGTCGTGGCGCGTTGAAGCCGATTCTCTCTCGTTTTTTTACGAGCGATTATCGCGTTCTTGTGTTATAATAACTCGGGCGCCGAGTGTATACAGTTTTTCGTGCGAGAGAGAGAGATATAGAGACCATGTTATATTATAAACAATATTGTGTCAAGACATGTAGGCTAATTGTTTCGACGCGCGTTAATGGTCATAGGATTTTATTATCCGAAGGAACTCATATATCTATCGTGAATATATTTATTAGAATTAATTATACGGATAAAAAATAATAATTCACGCTCGCGTGGATATGCGGTGGTGCCCGCGCGCGTACCGTGCAGATTTTTAAAACCGCGACGTCGATCGGCCGACTTTAGAAAAACGATCGAGCTCTTTTATTAATGTATTTTATTAATACACAAAGAGCTTCGATCGCGGTTACTCGTTTTTTTCTTAATTGAAAAAAAAAAAAAAAATAATAACGATAAGCAACGAAATCACGCTATTTAACGTTCGTTTTGTATTAAATGAAAATAAAAAAAAAAAATTAGCTACCGCGCACACACACGGTGCTGTATATCATTAAGGTACAAACGCGTTACAATCGCCAGCTAGAATCGCCTCGAGCGGTTATTCGCACCTTGCACCTCGTTAAAATAAAAGAATGCGAAAAAGAAGAAAAAAAAACGAAGAAGATTAAACAGATGTAACGCGTTTTGCCGTTATATCCGCGTGATAATCGAGGCAATAATAGCTCGCGCACATAACGCGCGTTGCGGCACGTGTGCGCGTGCAGCAGCAGGATCGAAGCGCGAAGATTCGTTTGGACGTCCGACACGACGACCTTCACCCACTTCGGCGGCGGCGCACTGGGCATCGACGTTTATATCGTTGAAATAAATGCATTGTCTTGAATATAACGAA